TCCTAAAAAACAAATTAACAGAATTGACAACGACCTTTCCATTCGCAGCGTCGAGTCGGCGCCATTTTTCCACGGCGACAGTCGAGCGGTCGGATCGACGGAACGATTGGCGCGATTATTTGTTACCTCCTAATTGGACTGCGAATTTTTAACGAAGGGAGCCTCACCGTCCTCGGGGTCAACGGTTCGCGAGCCATCCGTGTCGCCGAGGGCAGACCGTGCGTGCAGAAGCGCACGCCTGCACGCGTGATATCCCGGCCTCTGCACATGCGGAGGAATCTCGCCGTGGAGGCATATCGCCTAAGACTTCCTCGATCGGTCTCCAGGTCGCAAGGAAACCGGCTGACGGCTACGCCGGCTCGATAAGGAGTTAAAGGATGGCATTAATATTCATGTCGCTCATTAGGGGGCGAAATATACCATTTTTCGAGGGATTTCAACGAACGAACTCTTAAGGCGATGCGAAAGTGGCGTCAAAGAGATCTCCTTTACGAAACCATCGAGCGGACCAAATCGTTACAAACCTTATACTATGAATGTGGAGGCTACAGGGAAGTCTTAAATATTTTTTATTGGTATTTTAAAAATTATTTATGACAAATGAAATTTCATGGGTGTCAGGGCCTTCCTCATAGTCTTCGTGTTCGCGTTGTAAAGGTTGATACGACTCGGTGCATCCGATTTGGAGATAAATTTCGTGATTGCCTCTTCGGATGCCATTTTTACATCCCTTAACACATTTTCGACCGCTGTCGCGTAGGCGTGATTTTTTTTTCGGAACCGACATTTAATGCCGCATTATGCACGTACACGCGTGCCACCGGCGTGTACTGGATGTAGTATGTAACCTCGTAGTGGCCAGGAAAGGAAGGAGTTTCGGCGGGAGGTTTCACTCGGCTAATTTCGTACCTTCCGTCCGTCATGGCGGCGTTCGTTAGGCCGCGGCGAGGCTCGGTTCGATCCGCCCTCGGCCCTCTCTTTTCCCGTAATTGGCTCGAGCGTTCGCCAGCTCGCTGGCAAACCAAAGGGGACACGCGCCGAGTATTGCCTCCTAATTGTAATTGCCCGATAATTCCCCGGGAATATCGCCACCGAGCCCCTCGACCGAACGGCGCGCCCGCCCCGGCATGCCTTGCGGGCGCCGCCATCTTGGAAAGAACGAACGCCAACCAGTCGGGCCGAAATTATCGCTTCCTCTCGCCGATGCCGACGAACAGGGTGGCGGGGTGAGGGCTGTAATTATATCGCGCCGAAAAGAGACCGTGTTTACCCGTGCCGGCCTCGCAAATGAACTATTTAGAGATATGTTATTAGGGATAAAAGATACACCGGAATCGGCGCGGCGTGCAGACGCCGCCATGTTGGAGACGACGGAAGCCAACGGTCGAGGCAAAGTGGACGCTTCCTCTCCGCTCCTCGATGAAGTCTTGCCAAGGTGAGTTGGAGATTTAGTGCCACTTCTTTTTCGGACCTAAGTTGAAGTCGAAATATTGAGCTGGTCGGAATTAAAGGGAAATAAATCCCGGGAATCCCGCGATTCCTGCAATTTGTTCCGGCCTGGAGGCGCAGAAGACTCGGCGAGTTTTTCTTCTGGTTAGGACGTTCCTTCCTTCCTTTCCTGACACGTACATCAACCCCCCTGGGGAACGCGTGCCACGGACGATAATGAACACGTAAGTGAGCAGGTATTCCTGCAAAGTGCGAGCCTAGGGGGAGCCGAGCCGCCTCTCGTCAGGGCTCGCACTATTACAAATTTTATTATTCGACGACCTGTTGATTCGACCGACTTTGCCGACCTGGTCGATGCCTCGAGGGAGAGCGAACTATAGCTCGGGCTTATCCTTTAACCCAGGGTTTACCCGCGGAACTTTTAACGAGAACGCGCAGTACTCGTGGAACGTCCTGTAGGTACTTAAGCGTAGCCGCACGTGGTCGGCGAGTATTTAAGTGAGCCACGCATACTCTTTCCGATCCCGGTGTAACTGGGTATCCCTCTTTCACGTGGTTCCGCGCGGTTCCGCGCGGTTCCGCCGCGGTGGTCTCCCGTTCGCGCGAAAGCTCCGCACGCAATTAAACCGGCCATCTCCTCAACGGGAATCGCACCAATTCCGGCCGTGACGACTCGAGAGGAGCGCGGCCCTCGTTTTTATTCCTCGTTTTTCCCTTTTTCCGCGGGAGAAACGGAGAAAATGGGAGAAAAACGCGTCGTTTCCCTCGCGATCCTCGCGAAGGTTAAGCCTCGCCTGCCGGGAGCTTCACGCGTCGAATTTCTCTCCACGTGTCACGCTGTATCAGCCCTGATAAAAAAAATAAAAAATAATTCATTGAACCAAAGAAACACTCGGGGGCATCGGGGACTCTACGAGCGAAAAGGCGAAAGAGGAAGAGGAGGGAAAAAAAGCGGAGCTTATTAAGAGCCGGCCCGAGAGGGTCTTAAAGGCGACCGCAACGAGCGGCCGCAAGGCAATCGCGCGGACGCGGAATCGTCCGCTGACGAAGGCTCGGTGGAGGCGAGAGGAGCTTACATAATGCAACGAGCGTCGTGAAATAGTAACAGATGGGCTGTAAAATAAAGCGGCGGTCGGGACGACGAGGAGCGAGGACAAAGGAGGGCGGAAGAGGGGAAGCCGAAGAGCCGAGCAAGTGGATTCGCCGCGAGGGTGGCGTCGCCTCGAGGAGGGTGTCGAGGATAATTAACCAGAGGACCGCGATACCCGGTTCGGGGGAAAGCTCTGAAAAGCCCACTTTGAAGTCCCTTCGTTAGGGTAGCCGAATCTCAGGAGGGGCTGGAAAAGCGCCCTCGAAACAGGTGTCGAAACGAATTCCAGGCGATTAAGGGAGACACCGAAGAAAAAAGGAAAACGGGGAACAATCCCGGCAATTGTCCTTCAAGTCGTTTTTAGAAAAAGGGGAAAAAATTGTAAAGGGAAGAATTCCGATTACTCGAGACGGGAAGTCGGTAAAAAGAAGGAGAGGGATATGGCTTAACAGGGTTCGAATTTGTTGACGTCCTCTCGATTTCGTTCCCCCCTTTTTTTTTTTTCGGAACTTTGGCGAGGGTCCTTTCGGCCGGCTCGGATTCGCGTAATTGGGCGGGCGAGCCGATCGTCCATTAATCTTGGCGGCGCGTCACGTAAATTTGCAATTTGACGGGCCCCGACTGTCGGCCTTACGTACTCGTAACGGCACTCCTCGGCAATGCTCGTAGAATATCAACGACGACGGAAGCGATCGCTCGTGTGAACTCCACTTATGAAACGAGACGCGAAATCCTCGGCCAGTTTCTTCCTATGCCGGCGAGGGCCCGGGTTTCCTCCTTCTCGAATTAACCGACGCTTCCTTCAATTACCCTCGCACCCTGAGTCGGCTTTACGACGCCGAGTGCTACCATCAGGAATCATCGCGACGGACCTCTAAAACCCGAACGCGACGCGGAGACCATTACCGGCATTATCGCAATTCGCTCCCGTTACTTCCCGCAGCGGTTTATCGTTCCTACGCGGCGCGTTTTCCCCGTTGGTCGCCCTGCTAAAAAAAAGAAGAAGGAAAACGCAGTATTTCCGTCACCCCATGTCGAAAGTCCCCCTCGGACATGCTACACCGACTCGAAGAAACATCACCCACGCATGGTGATTTTCCCCCAGGACGTTTTACCAAGCCACATGACTAAAGAAATTAAATATCCAGAATAAGTGCCGCAGGATTTTTAATCCTTTATATTTATAGTAATTTAATCAATCGAAGGCGCATAAATTCGATTCGCTTCTCTTAGGGAACAAGGCCGAATTACTAAAACCGGTCTAGGTAGCGCCGACCGTAGTTTTCACCTGGAATCTGTCAAGCCCGTGTTCCCTTTCCCCCTGGCACGTCAATTTCCTCCCGTTACTTCCCACGGGGATTAATCGGCGTTAAGCGGCTCGGCTCTAAAAACCAGCAAGAAGCGAGTATGTTCCAGGGCCACGGACCAGAAACTAAGCTACAAAGTCGAGCGCGATGAAGTCTCGTTTCGCCTCGGTCCGGTCCCCTCCGAGCCGCCGTCTGGCGCGAAGGAAACGGTAGGTGGAAGGTGGAAGGTGTAAAGGATAGTACTCCGATACCAGAGATGCACTCGAGAGCAGGTGCACGCGCGTCCTCCACCTCGCTGTACCCTGGCCGCGGGTCCGCGTTCGCCGAATTTCACGTTTCTCGTTTCCTGACAGTCAGTCACCTCGGGAACCTGTCGCGATTGTCGTTGCCTTTTTCGGCTTGTTGTGGCCTCGGTCCAGCGGGACTCCTGGGAGATGCTGGACAGGAGATGTAGGTCGCCGGATCGATGTCGAGGAGGCTGCCTGGAGATCCGATCTCGAGATCGATAGATGGTTCCCTACAAAAAAGGTCTCGCGTTCATAATCACTCATAATCGTTCATAATAATTCATAATCGTGGGTTGCATTCGCTTTACCGGGATTTTTTAGACTCCTCCGAAGGCGACTCCACTTGGACTTTCCTGAGTCAGCTGCATCTGCATCCTCGCGTGGCCAATCGAAGACGGAGCCGGCGTGCAATTAGAAAATCAACGTAGAGGCGTGAAAATCGGCCGAACGGCCGAGAAGGTACGGGAAGAGTCGAGAGTAAAGCACTCGGCACTTACCGGGATCGGTTTGAATCCAATCAGGCAGATGACGAGGCAGGTAACCGAGCAGCTGCTGGCCTCCAGCTTTCGGGGTTTCCTCGCGATTCCTAACCTCGGTCTAAGAGAAGACACCTCGGCCTAAGAGAAGACCTCGACTAGAAATCCTGGCCGATCGACTCGTCGTTTAACGACCTACGAAAGCCGCATGCCGAGGCGCAAGGCGCGCCCGAGCTGGATCTCCAGGAATTCGCGAAAAGGACAGGTCGACCTTCCGAATAGCTCGATCGTGGCACGCGTATCGAACGGCTGATCACGCCGATCGATGAACCGATCCATCCGTAGCTCCACGAATACCCGACAACGCTACAGCCTCAGGTATGACCTCCATTTATTCATAATAAATACCACTTTTTTTTTTTTACAAATCTAGTCTTCACAATTACGTTCTGTGGCATGCGAATCCGTTTAAAAAATATGGGCGAAAGAGCTCTGTCCAATGTAACGAAGCTACGTGGACCTCGCGTCGGGAGGACGAAGGTTTCGAGGAGTCGGAGCGAGGATCGAGCCTGGAGAAAAAAAAAAAAATCAAAGACGATCGACGATCGCAGGAGCTCGATCCGCGCCCTCGACGTCCGTCGACGACCTCCAGGTCGGGGGCGATTAACTCGGAACTCGGCCGTTGCGCCGCTAAAACGAAGCGAACGTCGAGCGGTCGGTAGATCGGGGAAATCGGGCCCGTCTCGCCGTTTCCGGGAGGGATTCCGGGTTTAATCCCTGGCTCGCGCGTCCTTCTACACCTGGGGAGACCTTGCCCCTCCGTCCGAGAGTCCACCTGCCGAGAATTCCCTGGGACCGCTCTTCGATTTCTCCAAGGTACACTTCGACGCTTGGCCGCGTTCCCGGGTAGCGGCGATTCCGTTCCCTCGAGCTGATCTGCGATTTTCCGCAGCGGTCGCGGGTCTACCCGGCCGCGTTTCTCGCGGGAGAGTCGGCGATTATTGCTCGATCACGGGCCCAACCTCGGGGCCTTACGACGATCCACGCTGCGGCGTCTGCTGGGTGTAGAACCCGAAGGGCCTCGTCTCGCCAGGGTTGCGGGAAGTCGAGCTCGAGGATGCGGCGAAGGAGGTCGGGACCGAGGTCGAGGGTCCCGAGGTCGACGAGGTCTGCGGCTTGCGGGCAAGGGGCACCAGCTGGTGCGACCTGAGGGGCACCGGAAGCGGACGCTGGATCTTCTTCCCGTGGTGGTGTCCCCGGTGGCCCTGATGAGCGGGCCCGTTGGGTCTGAGTCGAGGTCGACCCGGGCCTCTGCGGATGGCGGCTTGCCCCGACCTCCCCGGCAGCGACCCTAGGGTCCCCAGAGGTCCTAGGGACCCGACGGTGCTCGTGCCCTCCGCGTCCGGTACCGAGCTCTCGGCTGACCCTGGAACAAAAATAAAGAACCGCTCTCAAGATTTGTCATCCCAACCACCCAGAACTCTCGTACTCCTCACTTTTAGTGCTAATCAATTTTTTTCCGGAGGACCAGCCCTCGCGTAAGCTGTTTTTCGTACCGATTTTCGAAATCCGAGCCAGGGGGGAACCCTGACGACCCTAGGGCGACCGCGGAATCACCCCCAGGGGGAGAACGGAGATCAACCCTGTCGGGGAAAATCGAGGTCGTTTCGATCCCCCAGGAAATGTGATAAATCGTGGGAGGCAAGGACTGGACCTGGTCCAGGAAAACCGTAATGGCGTCGATATCCATGAAGGCGATAAGTGGGCGATATCGAGGCCGCGTTAACCGCTGGCTGGACCTTGTGGAAAGGGTGGAAAGGATTGCAGGCATTCGCGACTATCTAGGGGAAGGGCCAGGAGGTGGGCAAGGGCCAAGGAATGCCGACTATCCGGCTATCCGGCCGTCCTTCATTAAAGAGATTCGCCTTCCTATCCTCCCGCATCTCGGGACTGGTTGGCCGAATCCTCGCCGATGTCGGACGGGAAGAAATTCAACGTGGGGCGATGCGACTTGGAATTCCACGGGGACTTTGGCAAAGAACACCTTCGCGTCCACCTCTTCCTGGCGGCACCAAAGGACTCTAACGGAGGTACGAGACGATCCTTTCCGAATTCCCGTAAAGTGTGAATGTAAAAAATGAATGTAAAACATGGATTAACAAAATATGTATATGTAACATTGCGGGGTCCAGGGTACGCAGCCGTAAGGAGAGGTCTCACTCGATCTCGTGTCCAGAGGAAAAAAGAGAGAAAAAGGAGAAAAGGAGCAACGGAGGAGGGATCTATGGCGCGGCTCGCAGACTGCGGGTTCGTCGTTGCGTTAACGGGTTTGCGAGCGATCGGGTCCGTGCCGGTGACGTCGGTGCAGTTGCCGCATCTCCGAGAGGGAGAGAGAGAGAAAGAAAAGAGGAGGCGGCGGGGCCACGGGGAAACAAGTTCCAAAAACCTAAGAAGAGAAGAGAGGAGCAGCTGCCTCCTTCGCTCCGCACCTGCTATTATCCGCTCGTGCCCGCGCACGCCGGCGACAAGCGAGACCCCTTTCTTGCACGCGCGAATCCACACGAAAACGCGCGACCATTCCCAAGAGCTCCTCTTCCCTCTCTCTCGCGCTCCCGCCGGATGGACTCGCTCGGTCTCTCTCTCCTCGCCTCGCTCTCCTCCCGGAAGAGAGGATCCTTTCGGCCGCTCATTGACGGCGCCCGAAGTGAGTCGCTCTAATGGTGCTCCTTCCCCGGGAGAAAAAAATGTGTGTTAAAGGGCCACAAAAAGGGTCTCCGAGGTGTCAAATTGTTAAACAAATTCCTTCTTTTTTATATCTTATAAATTTTGAAATGGATATTTAATCCAAGTCTTTCGCGTCGATACAAAGTCCCTCGCGAGTTTCTCCCGCGGATGGCCGTGGATGTACGTAAAGAGAAATGACACGTTGCCGCGATCGAGGTAAATGCAGAGACAGAAGTTATGGCTACTCTTCCGGAAGCGTCAAGCGTACCGTCGAATTTTCAAGTAGAAAGTACCGCGCCGGCTAGCCGCGGTTTCGACACCGCGATTGTTACACCTACAATGGCGATGATACGAAAGGGGCCGTTAATTTCGACACGTGCCTCCGCATTCCCACCTTCCGGAATGTAGGAATTAATTGCAGTTAAGGAGTCCCTTTAGATCAGGAGAATTAATTTCCGTATCGATGGTCGGACCATCCTCGTGGTCCCGGCTCCAACGAGAAGGTCCCTCGGCCAGTTTTGGACGGAACGACGCAGACGGTATAAAGAAAGTAGGATGCAAAGCCGATGCGGACGGATTAATGAGTCATCTAGACCTTTCGAGGGGGCGGACCCCTAGGGCACCGCCTCGTTGGTACCGGGACAATTGGTATCGCTTCTCGTCGAACCCCCCTGGGCGGTACCCCTCTCTCTCTTTCTCTCCCCCGTGCACTTGTGCACAGATGTGCTCGCAAGGGAATTTCGTATCTCGTCGTCGAGGAGCCTCCGGATCGATCCCGGGCCTACAGTCTATGCTCGGCTCGACGACCTCGCTAATCCCATGAGAACCTGACCAAGTGCCAAACGGGGCGGTCATGGGGCGAATGTCTCTGGGGAGCTCGCCAGGACTATGGGTATCGATTCGCGCGGAGGTTGCGAAAAGTCGAAACGCGACAGCTGCACCGCCTGCGGATCGGCAGGAGCCAAAGCCTCCGATTCGTAAGGGCGTCACGTCCTGGACTCGCCCCTCGACTGCAACCCCCGTTGAAACGCCATGGTCTTCCTGTACTTGCGATCGACCGATCTCATGACACCTCCGAGCCAGGAACACGTGTTTCCGGATCAATCCCGTACAAGCCTGGACAAACTTGGAATTCTCCGATCCACGGACCCTCCCCAGGGTGACGAATCTACCTACATCTCATACCATGTTTAACCCTAAATTATTAACGCTTAATTATTATCCCTGAATTATCGCTAAATGTGAGGTAGGAACCCGAGCCCTGGTACGACAGAGAAATTGCTCACCGTGATGAATCGCTTGACTCGTAGGAGATGCAACCGGGGTCGAGCAGGATGGGACCACGGCCTTGTTAGGAGGGTGCAATAGGAGAAGCCCCCTGCCCTTGCCGCCGATGGGTCCTCCTCTGCGAGATCCCCGTGGTCGACCGCGTTTGGTGCTTCCCCGGACCGTGGGTCGCATTCGAACGGAACCTCCTACGCCGAAGGTAAAATGGTGACCAAGCCTTGCCACCTTTGGAGGTTCGCCGAAGTGGCCCACTCGAGATTGCCGGGCGTCTCCAGCGGAAGCTGGAACCGGGCCGTCCACGTCCACGACGAGACCCTCGTTGCTGTTCTCGTCCTGCGATAATACCTCACCGGTTAGTATAATATCTCTAATTGCAGTTTCCTGAACAATAGACGGTGAAGGGGGTACCAACCTCGGACCTAACCGGACTGGTCGGCCCTCCGAGATCGTCCAGGGCGTCCGACGGTTGCTGCTGGTTTTGCTGGCGCAGTTGATGCTGCTGCTGCGACTGCGACTGCGACTGCTGGTGCTGTTGGAGCTGGTGATTCAATTGCTGCGACTGTACCGGGTTGCTGGCCTGCTTTGTGGCGAAATCCTGGCTCGCCTGGCTGTTCTCCACGCACCGCTCCGAGGTCGCATCCTCCAGGCAGGGTCGCTTAGGGTCCTGCTGGAAAAGGGTGACGCGCACTTGAGGATCCGGAATTCACAAGGTAATGAGTTTCGGCTCCTGGGAGGTGACGATCCCAAGGAGAGAGCAAGATCCCGGTGGAAAGGAGGGAAACAAGGTGGATCGTCCGTAAGGGCTCACCTTGGCCGGAAGCGCGGTTAGCTTCCTCTTCCGGTCCCTCTCCTTGGACTGCAGGCTCGAGTCGAGGCGAGCCTCCTCCGCGTGCTGCTTTCTCTCCTCGCTCCGTTGGCTGTCTGAAATACATGGACACGGACGCGTACACGGGGCCAGCTCTTATTATTATTCGTTATTAGGGCATTAGCATAACCTAACGAGCATAATGTAATTGCGCCCGGTATGCGCGTCGCTCGGCATGAACCCCTATCGGAGGATACGGTGTACGCATAACCTGACCGGATGACCGAACGCTCCTCCATCGTCCTTTATCCGATCGTCCTGGCCACGATTTAGCCACCCAAGACCGGCATGGGACACCGTGTGCTTCCCGTTCGACGTGTAATCATGCACCGCGATGGGTGTATTTAACGAAGCTCCCCTCATCGAGATAGTTTATCACCAAACTCCACCTACATTTCGCCTCGATCTCCTCGTCGTCCAGCAGCAGCGAGACCACTTCCTTGGGCTTCAGGGTGTCCGGCTTAAAGTTGCCCCCGCTGATGACCATTCGTTGAATCTACCAATGGGATTTACGGATTAGAATTGGATTTAAAACGAGGAAGGTGATGAGGCTCGGATTTATGGGAAAATGGGCGCACCTCGCTTTTCTCCCGGGCTCGTTGCAGGATCCTCTCCTCTATGGTGCCTTTGCAGATGAGTCTGTAAACCGTGACTTGCTTTGTCTGGCCCAACCTGTGAGCCCGATCCATCGCCTGTTGATCCACCGTTGGGTTCCAATCGCTGTCGTAGAATATCACCTGTAAGGACGCAGGCGTATAGGCGATACGTGACCCTCCACCCCGGTCGAAACTTCGGGACAGATGCGCCGGCATTCGTGCACGCACGCGCTCCCTGCAACTCGTGCACGCGTGCAGACACGCAATGCCGCGCACGCAACGTCGTCCTGCCGATTACGATTACAACTAGAATTACAATTACGGGCGCAATTAAGCCGACGTCTGCCGAGAACGTGACGGAAGTCGAGGATCCCCGTGGACGTGGAAACGCGATGCAGAGGAAAGGCCGGTTCCGCGTAGGGAGTGAAACAAGGTGGACTCGATTGAAATGCATCCCCGTGAAGGCATCCCGCGATGCATTCAATGAACCCGCGACTCTCCAATGAATTCCTGTAATTTCATTAAAACTTCAATATTTCAGGGGCCTCGACTCATGAAAAACCATCTGCACACCCTGAGAAAGAAATACCATCGAAGCAAATAAATACTTCATTAATTAAAAGAACAGTCATTTGAGTCAAATAATTATTCTTTGAATTAACAGAATGTTTCCGCGGTTCGATGAATTACTTTTCTCAGGGTAGAGAGCCCGTGAAGAAGGACTCGACGACGTCGGAGATGACGGAAAACCATTTAAGGAGAGAAGGCCAGGAGGCAGAAACGCGCATCCGACCGATCCTGAAGAGGCCCGCGAAGAAGGGCTCGACGACGTCGGAGATGTCGATGCCTCGGGTTTCGTGATGCTCCTCGGCGTGCTCGGCAATCGCTGCAGCCAGGCACGCCGTGTCTCCGAATAAATCAGATTTGTTAGATCGATGGGCGAGATTGTACATCGGGGGAGTTCGACATCGGCTTCCTCAAAGGGGGAGGACGCGGTAGCGAGAAAACGCTTACGTCTGGTCCTCTCCTCCGATCGCCCTGGAGGGCCTTCTGCCCTCCAGGATCGCGAGGTTGATTCCAATCTCGACGGGCGACGCGGCGTGAATCCTTCGGAGGAAATGTCTCCCCGAAGGAGACCTCCTGTCCTCGTGTACGTCTCGAGTGCGTGCCACGGCTGAAATAGCGTTAAATGTCCTCGACGATGCGATCGACGTGACGATTCTCGTTGCTTTTGGACTTTCCTGAACACTTCCAGCACCTCGAATTCGACCACTGGACCATGGCGTCGAGCTGGTGACAAAGGGGGAATACAATAGAATATTACCAGATGGGAATGATTTAAGAGGTCTCGCCCTGGGGGACGAGGACTTTTTTCTTTTTTCCACTCCTGGCTGATTTTCGAGTGGCACGGCGCAACCGACGACGAAAACCGACAAATCGTGAGAGTCCTTTCAGCCAACAACGGGTCGTCCTCCTTGTCGATACGTGATCTACCTGCCGATTTCTTATTGCTTTCAGATTCGAGCATTTCTAGACAAATCCCGGAACTTGCCCAGGACAATGAAGCGGCGACGAAGAGGGAATACCGATTACGTGGGAATTTTTTTCGAAGGATTTCCTCGTGGATGGAAACAATGCGAAATCGCTGAAACATCGGGGGAATAAAAAAAAAATGGTGAGACCTCCCCCTGCATTTTGAAATTCCCTTAAAAAATAAAAGATTAGGTCTGAGAACTTTGTGGTGGATAAATTCGATCATTCGGGGCCGACGTCGAAAAGAAACGCGCTTTGTAATGCTCGACACGTACAAGTACCCACGAGGGACGGCGAAGTGTCAAACTTCTCCAGGACTCCATTAATTCCCGTCCCTCGGTTTCCAACGTCTGTTGGGATTTTTCGCGAGTTCCAATTCTTTTTTCTTTTTTTCTTTTTTTCTACGCCCAGGAAATATCCAATCTATATGAGGTTTGCCCGAGAGGGACCGTCGAGTCTCGTTTCCGAGTGTCCCTCAGGAGTGACGGAAACATCCTGCAATACTTCACGCCAAATCGACTCCTCCAAGGGTTTATTCCATTAATTTCCGAGGTGATATCCTAAGGCAGCGTTGCCGAAGAAAAGATCCATCCATGGATTGCACCCAAGAGAGCGGGAACATCCTCACCCTGTATTCGACCTTTCCTTATTATTTTTCTACGCCCAATAGGAAGTCCACCTCGTCACGTCCTCGGCTTCTGTTATTTCGCGATCACCGGGCGATAAAAAGAACCGTGTGCGGAATCGAAATTACCGGACGACGGTGGGAAATACATTGAATCGTCGAAAACCATACCGTATCCGCTGCGGTGAGGTTGATCCCCAATCCGCCGGCCCGGGTGCTCAGCAAAAAGACGAATATATCCGCCCTGGAACATAAAGTAACGCGGAATTGAGCGGACGAGCAACGACCGTGCTCGCATTTGCATGCAAATTAATTCGGCCCGACCCCGTGCACTTTGGGGATTTCTACACTCGACGTTCTAGAGATTCGACAGTTCGGTGTCCCTCTTTTCTTACAGTGCCCTCAACCCTCCTCGCTTTACTCGCCTAACGTATTACCGGGTAATGTTCCCTGAAAATGGACACTGTCCGCGATACGCGCTCCTAAAGTCACGTAAAACCTCCACAAAACGTCGCAATTATCCGCGGACTTATCGCGGGGTCAACGGGAAATTCGAGCAGCTCCGTACGAGAACGCGATCGACACCCAAGTAATAAGAACTACCACTGGCATTAATAAATTAATGCGCACAAGTATCGGTCGCGTTAACGACCGAAGAGAGTACAATTGCAGGAGGATCGTATGAATCGCTCGATTACTCCGATTAATCGTTCTTTTCTAGACGGCATGGACACTATTGTTTGATTAGCGATGCCCACCTCTTCTGGAAGTCGGCGACCATGTCGCGGCGATCCGATATCTTCGAGGAACCATCCAGACGCATGAAGGTGTGCTTCCGGTGATACATGTACTCCTGTGGACACGATTGAACGGAAATTAACCGCGATCAAAGGCGAATTAAGGACGTAACATCAGGATGATGAGGTACCTCGAGCAGGTCGATCATTTTCGTCATCTGAGAGTAAATCAGGACTCGGTGACCCTGCTCCTTGAGACGACGTAAAAGGCTGTCCAGGACTGAGAGTTTCCCTGCATCCGTCACCAAGGTCTGCTTGTCTGGAAAAAGCCAGGGAACATTTTTCTAACGATACCCTGAACTGGCACCCATCCCCTCGCGAGCTGGTATAAATTACAAAGGGTCTTGAATCGAACAAAAGGGAAAAAAGTCTCTCCGTGGCGTGCAGGTCTTCGGAGGATTTAATCCGAACGGGACGAACTCCCTACCATGCAAATTGATCGTATAATGGTTACGGAATCCTCTAAGTGAGCAAAGGAGCATTAAGCCTATCGACCGAGCGCTCTGAAAACTTTTCTGCCGAGCCGTTACGATGTATCATATCCGAGAGAAAACGAAGGAATTAAAATCTGACCATGAAGATCCATTAGAGCGGAATTTTCCTGGCGTGCCATTCTCTAAAATATTCACGCCTGTACCATAGAGACGATCGGCGGGATATTTAATTTCTCAATTCTCCGCTGAAAACTCGAGCCAGCCTCGAGAGCTAAGACTCGATCCAGCAACCCCAGACGTAATGAGAGGAAAAAAAGCAAAAGACACAGCCGACCGCGCAACACATTTCTTTCCTACTTTTAGCTCCTAACTAGACCGCTAATGTGGTACGCAGCAAGCAAACCACGTCGAACCTTTCTGGATTTTTCAAGCCACTGGAACTCTTCCTTTTCTTCGTCCCTGTGCAGTTAGCATGCATTAGAGCCTCTGCTTACTTGCCCGCTTCAAACGGCCCCGCCTTAACGCGTTCGGTTATATTTGCATAACGTCAATTAACCGGCGAGCGAAATTGCTGCCAAAGATCGGACAATCGGAAGAATTCAGGAGAAAGAAAAAGTATCTCAGTCCCTGCGATGCATTTGCAATTCGGGTATGATAAGAAGGGCGGTATTCATTCTCCAGCTATACTTGACAGATCGGGCTGCACATTGTGCGGCCCTCTCGAGGAGTCTATAAATAAGGCAGGCGAATCGTTCTTTAAGCCACTTCGAAACAGGAATGGAACTCGATGGGTTAGCGGAACAATACTTGTCACGCGACCCTGAGAAAACTTCATTCTCGTCTCTTACTATTTCCAACGTGGGCGAAACCGCGGATTCCCTTTTCAGAGATCGCACGTCCGCCGATCGCATGATCGTTCCCCGGTTGCGGTTCGAGATGATCATTCGCGGTAATCTACTTATGCACCGGACGTGGCAGAGTATACAATTTAACGGAACTTTTATCAAAGATCATTGATACCGAGTGCATTTAATGAGAGCAGGTTGCACGGAGCTATTGTCATCCATTGGCGGGAATTCCTGCTCGGGGCGTATAGATTAAATGGCATAGCAATGAAAGAGTACGCCTGCGTTACCGGCAGAAGTACACGTATTTGCGTGACGATGGTTACGTTACCCGACACCTAACAGACTATCCTGAAACCGCAACGTCGAGTCACGAATCGCTCGGTAAGCGACAAGGTGTGTGTACGGATATCCTACGAGTTCATTGATCGTACTACGTTACCCCTAACGACATACCCACCGAGCGGCTCCATTGAATAATACTCGACAAGGACACTCCATTGAGGCGCTCATTACGCACTCAACTAAATTACTGACCATTTGTATAATTGTTATGCAGAACCGTATGCCACATACGGTTAAGTACGGATTGACCGCTGCATTTTAAATACGATAATGTGTTGAGAGAAACGATGAGATTCGAGGTAAAAAAAAAATTAACCGGGGTAATGATAGATAATTACCAGGTACGATGATGTTCGACCACCCATTGATTGGGGCACATCCCGTCAAGCCGCCTGGGATCTCGTATGAAAATGTCGGAGTCAGACCCATTCGAACGATTGACGGCGCTTGCAATATCGAGGGAAGAAGAGCTTTGCTGCAGCCGAGCCATAACACTTTTTGCCCGAAATTCCCTCCGCACTCTTCGTGTCTTCGCCAGGCACAGGCTGCGGAACTACTGCTCACGTATAACTTTCTAGGGCTCACCTGGACCTATGAAATTCAATCCAATTAGTTTCTTTGAAACGGTCTAAAAATATTCTGGATACTGCATTAATGCTTAAGTATTTTCTCCTTTACTTTGGGATTATTATCGCAGACGAAGGCGGGAATAGTAGTGGGCTGACAAAATCTCATCGATGGGGATCGAGGGACATATGGATGTTCTGGCAGTAAGGTCAGCTTTGGCTCCTCTCCTTGGTCTCCCTTGATGCTGGGAATTGTTCGTTGGAACTAAAAGTGGAAAGTTAGGCATTGGAAATATTTTTTTTTTGCCGGTAAAATATTATGCAGAATTATTACATTAAGAGACGAGTGGATTAAATACCTTGAGCAATTGATTGGCAGACCGTTTGCTGCTGCGAAGTATTCGATGTGCCATCGTCTCCGACATCGAGTGAATCGTATGAGTAGTATGAGTGTACAGGGCATCTCCCTCGAGAATTTTGTTCGTAAAAATCAACCCACTGGTCGCAGGTGTGGCACAAACTTTACGTCTTGGAATTAACATGATATTCTTAGGGGTTGGCACGTTCTCGTCGACCCACCAATCTTCCCAGTGACGCTTTATACGCATCTTCCTCTCCACCAAAGTAGTGTAACATAATCTGGCATGAAACAATAATTGTTTAAAACGTGGGTAATTTGCATTAGTTGATGTAGCTGAATAATCACTATGCGAGTATGCACCTGAAGAGTATACCAGCAATAAAGAATTTGTTCAGTTCCATTGGTGATAAGTTTATTAATCTAATAAATGAGAAAAAACTCTCGAAAGTATTCTCGCCTCGCCCGTAAAGAGACCGATGAATATACTCCGTAGCGAATACGAATAATTTATTGAAGAGTATATGATCTTTGGACGGTAATGAAAGGGATAATAGTCCTTCGTTGTATAACAGCACAGGCATCTCGTAACATTCTGCCTTCATAAAGAGAGGAGATCTAGCGTCTCTACGTTCGAATAATTCAGGGTGATTGCAAACCTGAAAACAAAAAATTTAATTCAACATCGTATATTAATCACACAAGGGATTAAATAATAAATCATGTTTGAAAAGGTACCTTTCGGAATTGCATGACTAGATTCATTAAGTTCGAGGTGAAATTTTTGTCATTAGTAGCGGTATCACCACCTCCAACTGTGTAATGCAGCAAATCTTCTATCCTAATTTTCTTCTTTAACGCTACAATGCCAAAATATCATGTTAAATAACTCCTTGTAATGATCCGCAAATATTTTCGTAGTAACTCTCACCGGAGTATAACAGCTTTTGTCGTGTCGTTAAAGGACAGTAGACCATGACCTCGATTTTATCTGACAGTTCATTCTCTACGTCCTTTTTGATTCTTCTTAACATAAAAGGCTTTAAAATCATATGTAATCTCGACAGATGTTCTACAAAAATATACAACGAACATGAATATCAAAATTCGGTCAGAATTCATTTAATTCGTGTAAAAAATGAACCTCACTTTCGTCTATTCCCGTCTTATTCTCTGCATGGCTCTCAATATCTTTCGAAAACCATTCGTTGAATTCATCATGAGAGTCGAATAAAGTTGGCATTATAAAGTGCAACAGAGCCCATAACTCAGCCATACTATTTTGTATCGGGGTACCACTAAGGAGCAATCGATTACGGCAGCTGAATCCAAGTAATAATTTCCATCGCATACTGAAATACAATAAAAAAAATGTAGTCATTCTAACAATTACATTGGTCTTAAACGTCTTACTAAATGTACACAAACCTGCTTGTGCTTTTTATCGCTTGTGCCTCGTCAAGTATCATGTATTGCCATTTTATCCTGTTGAAGTATTTGTAATCGGTAATAACTAGTTGGTAACTTGTGATTACCACATGAAACGATGCTTCCTTTGTATGCAAGTCTTTGGTATCCCAGAACTGTCTCAATATCTTTCGTTCTTGTGGGTTACCCCAGTAAGGTACCACTTTGAATATAGGGACAAACCTCGCCATTTCTTGCTGCCAATTGTGCAACGTCGAAGCTGGTGATATTATTAAAAATGGTCCCCAAACAGCTGGAAAGTTATTTAAACGATTAATAATCTGTTACGTACTGGCAACCCACTCATTAGAAATACTTACAATATCTCTCAGCCACGTGACATAAGAATGCTATAGATTGTACCGTTTTACCCAAACCCATCTCATCAGCTAATATACCACTAATACCCTAGAAATAATGTTTAAAAGTAAAAAAATCTCATTAACATTAAAGTACTTGATTAATAAGTTAATCAACACTACGCACTTGGTCATAAAGATTTGCAAGCCAATTCATTCCTTTAAGTTGATAACCCTTAAGGTTTCCTTTGAAAATAGATGGCTGAGGGTGTTCCAAGTTTTCTGGAGTTTCACTCAGACGCAATTCTTGCGCTGCTGCTCCAGTGTCAAACTGTCTAGTTCTTGCTCTCTCGCTATCGAATGCTTCAGTAGCATTTTTCTTTGCCTTCTGTTTCATGATTTCACTATTAAAAAAAATTGCATCAATAAATTAATAACGCCGCAACGAAAAGGCTTATCATCGGTGTCCTCACCAATCATAATCATCAATTCCAACTAATCGGGGATTCTTTTCTTCGTCTAATTGATTGAGTATCCTCAACTGTTCTTCTGGTGATGCTTTACCTAATTTTCGAGACATGAAATGAGCATAAAGTTCGGTTTGCGTTATGAGGAAATTCAGCTTCCGTTGTTGACGTTTTGCCTAAAACCGACATTAATTAAGGATGTGAAAAAAAAAAATTATATTTTTTCAACCACTAAATAGATTGATTGATTAAAACCTCAATGAGCTCGACATCCATTTTACGTTGCTCCTCTGCTTCTTTTTCTAACCTTCTTCTGGTTTCACGCTCAACCCTGTCATAACGCTTCCAATAAGATTGCATCTCCCTGGTTAATCGTTTTGCACGCCAAATTGTTTCTTTCATATTTTTTTGAGACTATCACAAGCAAACAGAAATAATCAAGTGACATCCTGTGCAACACAAGATATTAAATCTGAAGAGACTCACTTGCATCGCTTTTTGTCGCCAATACTTCATGCAATGTTGTGCAACTTTCTTACAACTAATAAGCATTTCTTTATGATTGTTCGTTTTAGCTCGTTGAACTTTCCCCAACTCCTTCTTTGACATCATTATCCAGATCTTCCTTCTCCTCATTGCCATTACCTCAGGACTCTTATTATTATGCTTTTTCCTGCCTCGAGCTCGAGGTTGATGTCTCATCATAGCCTCGAGCTCAGCTTCGTCTAATTCATCGTCTTTATGCAATGCTCTATCCCAAACATCTTCAGGATAATCATGTTCCTAAAATTGAAAATTACAGACAATGGAAATAATGCATAAATCAATAATACTGCACTCACTCGATAGTCATTTGATCCTCTGTGTCGAACACCTTTTTCCTTCTTAAGCTTCATAATCTTCTTATCAGGTTTCTTATCTTTTTTCTTTTTATTTCCAACTATAAGTTTTTGATGTTCTAAAAACCTATCGTAACTTGATAACAACCCAGCACCATAATACTGATATTGAATATTCTGAAAATTATATATTTTTGAATTAAGTCTTACATTCTTATGCTTCACTGATCATTAATAATTCTCACCTCTGGTTTCTGATAAAATCGGCCTTGATATTTCTTCCGCAATATATGAAACTTTAACATATCTTGAAAATCTTCTTCTGTAATAGGAGCATCGCTATCAGATCCTGATGCAGAACTATCCGATGAATCACCAAGCAAAATATCTTGCAACCATCTGCGTTCATCTCCCACACTAGCCATATTATACAGTCGTAGTTTATCTATTCTCTCTTCTGAAAATAAATGCTCAATGTGAATACAATAACATTCCCAAATAGTTTTACATTGAATTTATTTTGTACGAACCCTCTTTCTTGGTTAAGCCATCATTATAAATATCTGAGCCCTCCGAAGAATCCGAAGAAATAGATTTGTCATCGTCACTGTTAAAATATTTAATATAATGCAAAGGACTTTACTAATAAAATTGATAAAGATACTGTAAACAATACCTGACATGATCTCGAAAGAGTTCATTCAGTTGACCTAAGAAAGGTTGTACATTCAGGCTACGTTCTAGCCGCTGCAAATGCAACGGAGCAGCCATTTCGGCTTCTAAACCCATCGTACGGTTTTGTTCTGTCATAACCGTAACCAAATGAATTCAGTAATCTAAAAAGAAGGATTAACCAAATTTATAATCACCTACATCAATACGAACGATATAGCAATCCGATAAATGAACTACATTAAATCAAAACATTATACGATTTTTTTTCTCGTGACGATATCATACAAATCTGAAATCAGAGCTTCATTTCGCTCTACACATAAAATACTCATGTAAAGATTCATTGATGCACCGTTGCTAGGGCAACACAAATTACTTCGACAGCCTAGCCCTACAGAACCTCCAACTGCGGTACATAATTTGGAACGAAGAAATACTTAAAACCATCGAACGGCTCGAACATCCAACCATGTGGCACGGACCAATTATTGCTGAATACCAATAAAAATCATGAGTCTGGGGTAGAAATTCTGCACATTGCTAGAACAGCTACCAAACCAGGTCGAGCATGCCTTGTTGATTCTCGCGACAATACCAAAGATAATTACCAGACTAAAGACGCACTGAGCGAATCCAACTTTGCTGTAAAATTACTCGCATCCAATTTCATTACATAAGGCAAATGACACGACGAATTACTGCGAGGGGGTTATAATTACACAAATTATTCGGTAGTTTAGAATATCACCTGCTGTTTGGTTAGAAACAGCCACGCTTATTTCACGCTAAACTTGGGCGCGGCGGCGGCTAAGGGGCTCCCCTTACTCACATCGACATTGGATACGTCGACTGACGGGAAATACATAATAGACAGGAGCCTAGACAACACGGACATTTGGCGTGCCACAAAACCAGGGCAGGGATAGGGCATATCGTTGGTCACCATTTTTGTTTTCAGTAGATGGCGCCGCAGTCGCGCCGGTTCCTGCTCGTTCTGAACGATATACAGGGTGGCCAATCGTTCGTTTCATCCTGCTGCTGTCTCTTCGCTTTAAATTTTATCCTTACTGGATTAATAAATATCATGCATTTAATTTTATTTAGCCTCGCCTTCTTTACAGATCTAACGTTTAAAGTGGAATAAGCCAAGCTGTATGCCGATAACAGCAGACTCCGAAATTGCTGTAAGTGGTGCTTGCAGTACTACCAACGTACTCACCGATTCGACCTTCCTTCGATCATCCGAAATCGGATATTGAAAAGTAAATTTACTTGGTATTTTAAGACGCTGATCTTTGGACCGTGGAAACTATAGTAACTGGCAAATATTGACGACTCGTTTTTCGAGTTATTTCTGGGAGACAACTGGAAATGCTGACCGAAAGTTCGGGAAAATCTGCGCATTGAGACACAAAATTGACGGAGACTTGTAGACATTATTCTGGAACTACGACGATCGATAGGAAACATCGGTTGTACCTGTTCTGAAAAATTTTCTTGGACGTTTCCTAGGTACGCCCAGATTACAAATTCAAATACTACCGCCACTTTATCTTACGACTCGCGCATTTCGCGCGCAACTCTACTCTCGACTTCAGACGACTCGGTTCTTACCTTGATTGTGAACCTCTTTTCACGTTGTCTATTTCTAAATAATTTTAAAAATGTGACTGATAAGTTCTCTTCGGATTCTGGCGCAATTTGCCTTGTATGAAATTTATTGGTTAAATTAAATTGAGAAGATACTTCAGGGGATGCGGCGCCGCGCAGTATGTGGATCAGCTCTCCATATTAGTCCTACACGCGAGATCGATAAAATATACAGACAATCTAATTGTTTATTTCTCGATGAATACTCAATGTCGACATTTCAATCTGCGCAATCAATTAAACAGAGGAAAAAAATAAAGCGCGCCGAGATGCGTAAATACCGCATCTGGTGTGGAGGCTACGCCGGGTTGTTCAAGGTTCTTCCAGCTCGGGGTGCGAGATCCATTATTCGACTCCTCCACTCAGTCCACCGAGAGACCGATCTGTCTCTGTCGCACTCTCTGCTGCAGTGCGTGCGACAAGGACACTCTTATGCGAGCCCAACACAGAGGTCTCTCGACTGTTGCGCCATCTTAGCCTTCAGCAACTGCAATGAACCTTTCCCGCGTCGAATCTAACCTTGCACGGCTTCGCCTCGTGCAGTCGCCATTTTGTTTCCGTTGTTACGGCAAGCCATGTTGCTTAGCGGTTCAGACGCCGATCGTTATTCGTTTTAGTAATTTTAGTGGTAATCTGTCAAAAAATAGTGCCGAGAGTGAGATTTACAAGGGCACCTTACTGTCCGATCATCCAGGTAAGTCCGTGCATGTTTATTCGCCCGTCCTTTACGTATATCGGGCACCACGTAAGAACAAACGTGCCACGACGTCACGTTTCCTCGCTCGGTCCGGCATCGGCGATCCTCCGGATTCTCATTAATTTCTTCCTGGCGTCGTTCATTGCTCGTTAACCCGTTTAATTTGTCAATCGATGCGGGAGTAAATATTCTCCAGATCGTGTTGTGTCTTTTTCGAGATTGTAATGTTTCATGTCGCGTGATTTTCGGCGCGATTCGGGCGTAACGGTCAAGCATTCGTTGAAGATACGCGCGCGTCCTACACGATCTTACCGCGTGGGATTTGGATATTCTCCCATCGGTCTCATATTTCCTTTCTTATCTAATAATTCTTGGCAGAAAATTTATTACGGAATATCGTGGAGTGTTTTGAAGGAACGCTGAGTATAGACGTTTAATTTCAATCGTTGACGTGGTCTAGCAATTTTAACGTTATCTCTATTTGTCTGTATTTTTAATTTGTCGGGTGGTTCGTATCTGTATGATGCCATACAAAGGCAATTTAGAGAAGCCGGTCTAGTGCCACGTTGTCTATTCTTTATACGTTATCGTGTCCAGTCAGTAAAAGGGTATGGATTGAAATTCTTTACGTGATATATTGATATATACCTTAATTTATAATGGAGTACCACCGATTGAGATTATCGTAATTTCCTACTTTCTTAATAATGTAGTTATAGAGAAAAATGTAATATTGAACTAATGAATACATTAATTCCATCCTTTAGTATATTTATAATTTCCCGTTCCTTGTTAAGGTTGAGGGTACGCTAAATTCATTTAAATTAAATTTCCATTCTATTTTGTTCAATAAAATCATGAGAAAGTTCGTTACGTTCTTGTTTTCACTTTTAGGCTGCATGGCATCTGGCATCTATAAGTTGCTTTAACTACTGTGCATGTCACTGTATTTCAGGGTCACCATAAGATTATGGTACCGAAAAGAAAAGAAATCGAGTGAAAAGCGGGAAAGTCTGTTTAAATAGCGAGTAACGTGGAGCAACATCGAAGAAGGACATTGCGCACGTAGCGCCGAGTTTGTACATCACGCCCAGAGTCTTTAACAATGTCGTAAAGATCATTTTTTTTATATTCTGTCATTTGATTAAGCATCAAGACTTTTCAAAAGATCCATTATGTAAGGTGTTTTTTATATTTTCCTTTAAGAATGAGCACCCGAGTATTCGTTGGTGGATTAACGTACCGGGTGAGAGAGCGCGACCTTGAGAAGTTCTTCCGGAAATATGGTAGAGTCAAGGAGGTCGCTATGAAGAATGGATTTGCGTTTGTGGTAAGTCTAATGTGAATCAATTGTTTTTTTTACAGTATGGTAGGGACAAGGGTCTATATCGGTGGGCTTCCATACGGCACCAGGGAAAGAGACGTTGAGAGATTTTTCAGAGGCTACGGTCGATTCCGCGATGTGCTTATCAAGAACGGCTATGGTTTTGTCGTAAGTACCCGTATTCAGTTCAGACAGTATCTCTGCAGTCTGCGTCGCTCCCCTTGGACTCTGATTTTGTGCAGAATTTGTCGTATGTATACATCCATGTTATCCGTGGAGTTAACCAAAGAGAGCGAAATGTAGAATGCTAAGTTGTAATGCGAATCGACTGTGGCTGTTTAGAAAAAATTGTGCTGCAATTATTTTAACATTCTCCAACATCTTTTGTAACTTGTACACTCGAAAATCGGAGGAATAGGCCAAAAAACGGTATGTTATATTTGGGGAATTTTGAGCAGAGATAGGTAAATTTTGCTTCATGAGTTTATGAAAGAAGATACTTTTACTTGAAGAAAAAACTGCCAGAAACACGTCGGTTAGGATTAAGATCTATGACCCTTTATAAATTTAAGGATTAACATTAATTAAAATTTATCTGGTTTAACAAAATATTACTTTGTCTCTTTTGTGTGCCATTAAATTAAGAAATATAATTTTGCTTTCAGGAATTTGATGATTACAGAGATGCTGATGATGCCATTTATGAGCTTAATGGAAAAGAGCTTTTAGGAGAAAGGTAATTAGAATGTAATTAATAAATCAGGTGCTAAACCTGGATTTTCTGATGGGAAGGCAATTAAACCTATCTAATTACTTTGTTGCAGAATTACTGTACAGAGAGCTCGGGGGACGCCTAGAGGTAGTGACCAATGGCGTTACGGTGATTCTCGTGGTGGTTATGGAGACTCGAGGCGATCTGCGTAAGATGCTATTCTTTTTTTATTTTAGTAATACTACGTTTATATCCCCTTCCGTGATAAGTTGGATTGGTAATTATATTTTTAAACTCGATGTCGAATTCGAAATTGGTTATCTTGGATTTGACTACTCATCTGAACACGTCGCATCGTTGTCATTAACGATAACAATGCGACGCCAGCGAACTATTTAGCACCAAGCTTCCCAAACCACTATCGCTATCATTAATTAATATTACATGATTGAGAGAATGTGAGAATGTGTGAGTCGGATGAAGTAAAATTTAACGACTAATAGAGATGTTTTTCTGTATTGGTCTGTTGCAGCCGAGACGATATGCGACACGACAGGTACGCTATTGCTGCATTATCAGTAGATATGATTTGATTGGGACAGGTGATTGATCGTATGCCTGAGCAATGAATGCAGACCCATAGTTGATTACGAAGCCATTTTTATTAACCACCAATTCGCTATTTCTGTTCACATGACATCCCTTTTTGCAGAGATAGTGTGAACAGAAACACGAGGACTGCATCTAGCTACAAGCAATCATTGCCCAGGTACATACATCCATTGTTATGCTCTATTCGTAACACTTTACTCGGCTTTCCTTTTCTTTCTTTCACTCTATAACATGATTTTCCATTGTCATTTATGCTTTTGTTCTGCTTGTCTTCTTTCATTGGATTAACGTAAAGTCAGGTCCAAGACAAACCTGCTTTTCTTTGCAACAACGATTTAAAAACCGTAAATCTAATCGACTACGTCTTTTTTTAGATACGGACCACCGACACGCACAGAGTATCGTCTGACCGTGGAGAATCTCTCGAGTCGTGTAAGCTGGCAGGTACGTTACAAAACCATCCTCCTAACTTTAAACACACTTTATCATCGCCGTGAGTTTGATTACACCTCGGGGCATCGAAGGAAAATATCAAGACGATTCAGAATTTGGCTACTTCAAAGATTTCCTAAACAAATAAAAATACTGGCTACTCGATGTGTAAGCCGTTGCTCGAGTTGAGTCAAACTCACGGCCGAGATTTTTATTCCTAATGGCTTCTGTTGGGTTTTCTTTCCTTTTAAGTTCGTGTATTGACAAAAAAACGATCCTCGGGTCGAATCGTAAGATGTGCATTTTGATCAAGTAAGTCTATGGCAATGGGAAAGAAATGTCTTCCCGGTTGAGATAAGAGCAATCCACGAGACGAAGAGAGCACCAAGGGGGAGATGAATTGAGCCTCCCCACGAGGCGGGCAATAGTCACGCTTTCAACCACGGAAGAGAGGCACGTCAAGTTGCCGAGAGGAAACCCGGAGCATCGCCTTCCATGCGAGAGAAGAGGTGGGGAATTTTTCCGAAACCCACGTAGCCCCCCTGTGAATCAAAGAGGAAGGATGCAGGGATGTGTGCCAAAGGTGGACGACACGGTCAATGGTACGGACGATGTGGGAAACACCAGGACGCAATAGAAATGATTTCAAGGCCACGTTCACGCCAAGGTCGACATTCCGGAGACAATCCGTGGGAGGGGAGAGTGCCAATCGACAATTGAGAGTGGCACGTAGAAATGCCATCGTCGGTCCAAGTCTTACTTGATCAATTGACACTGCGCATCTGTCGCGTTCTACTCTTTTTGTTCGGACAATTGGTTGCCTTTTGACGATTAGACGTTCTCGGTGGGATCGACAGTCGGATCCCCGTCGATGTATCGTTACCTTTCCTACTTATGATTTCTACTTTACGTTCGGCCAGCAGTACAGAGAAAAAAACAATAAAATTGATGTTCTTTCCGAAGAGCCATGTCCTCTTCGCCGTGGAGGGGTGACCGGTAGGGCCAATAGACTGGTGATGTGCGATGATAGAGAGATGACAATGGGTCCTCCTTGAGGTCAAGTGACACCCGGTTGGTTTCCGAGGTGTGTCCGGGTCAATGTGAAAGAGAGAGAGGGCCGCGGGGCACTGGGATACACCCACCAACTGCCTATCTACTACCACTAGGACCTATCCAGTCAAACGCGGTGAAACCCACTGAAATCCCAGTGATAGGTCGTTAATACTATCTGCGCTCCTCCTTGCCACGATGCTGCGCTCACTGGGAGGCCATCCACCTAACTACGGCATTCATCTATTCTGCTATCTTCGTTGCGACAGTTACCTGGCATCGTTACTACAGAGTACCAACACGATTACATGTTACCACCGAACCTTGTTCCCGCTTCTCATGACATTACTACTTTCACCGTCACCACGACACCGTACCCACGGCCACGTTATAATCAGGGTCCCTGACGTCCGACGGAGCCTGTTGGAGATTTAACCGAATCGTCATTGGCCTTATCGAGTCCAAGTCGCACGTACCCTGCTTATGACCGGAGTCCTGTTAACTCTCATTACCGACCGCCACTACTGCTCCCACCACCACCACCACCACTAACCGATGCCAACACTCCTCCAATTATTCCCGTCTTCGTTCCCTTAACGCCCGACATACATCCAAGCCTTGATTTCGAGCTGGGGAGAATTAAGAGAACCCAAGTCGCTAGGGGAGAGGAACAAGGCGTTGCCCCTGTTATCGGTCGGGCGTTAAGGGCCTGTCGCTTCGCCACCCCACTACGGACACTACTGCCACCACCCCTGTCATCGTGATGAGATACTTGTACCGCTACCACTGGCACGACAAGAACGACAAGTACGACCGGTACGGGCACTGGCATCTTATAGCCGAGCTAGCCATCTAGTAATTCAGGCAGCGGCCACCCATGAGGGCACACACGGACCGAACTAGAACCATCCGCGTCTACGGCACACAGACCCGAGCAAGCGCCACGTGCCTGGCCCTGGCCTTTCTCTCTGTCCGTAAGCAAGGTGGTGCCTGGGCCCAAGGTAAATGCGTCACCTTAACCGAGTGTACTCTTAGATATATACCTATATCTCTGCCTTCGAATATATTTATTATATATATATATACATCTATATATCGATACAAGATAGACACAGACACTACATATATTAATGAGTCTCTAGTAATCTAGATTGTTACTATATACTATGAATTTTATATTTATCTATATATGTATATCTACATATCGTGTTCGCTTCGAAGGAACTCTCTTTCTCTTGTCGAGTACCGTGCACGGTAGAACTTTGCTACGACGGTGTGATACCGAGGACTCGGACGTGTCTCCGTGTGCGTGGGTAACGCGATGCTGCTCTCAGGATTCGTCCATGTAGGGGTATAATTAGGGTCCTATGACTAATTACTGCGTGCTCGAAATTAGGAATCCGCCTCGAGGCCTTGTCGCGGTTTATTCCAGTCGTCCGAGACTGCGCTGTAAAGTCGTAGATGAGATTTTATCATATTTATGCGATACTCTTTACGGCGCAGCGGACGGCGACGTTGCTTGGTAACTTTGTAGTGATTTTTCCTATCTTAGAGTTCAAGGCCCAGGTTCAACTTTTCTTTATGCAAGACAATTTTGTGCCCGACCGTTCCGAGTGCCGGATCGAGGTTGAGCATTGTTCCTGGCCCGAGCCACGGAGATGACGCCCACGCTTGCCAGATATGGCTCATTTCATGGACACGAGTGGATTTCGGTGATCCCACCCTGGAGAGGGACGTATCTCGGGATTCACGGCGAAGACGATGACGTGTCCAGCCGTGACCAACTGCTGTCCACTCGTTGAAGACGTACCTGGTTCCCACGTGCCTTGAGCTGAGAATAACGAGCATCCTGATCAGGATGGGGACGATGGCAATCCAAACGCAGAAAGAGAGCTCGTCGAGGGCCTTTGTCCGGGTACCGCGTGCAACAATGGAGGAGGAGGAGACATCGGCCAGTAATCTGGGAATGGGAGCTTAGAGACCTGCCGTTTATAAACCGGGAAAGACCTTCCCGAGTTTCTTTGTCGGGTCGTTCTTCCCCCCTGGAGTCGACGTTTCGCCGAAGAGAAACTATGCACTCGTTGTATATATATAAGCGGGCTTGCTTCTATTTCCATACGCTTTCGAGCCTTGTTACGCCCTGGTACTTGATTTAGTCTTCTGACCCGGCATCCTCCCGTTTCTGGAGATATGGAAATCGTTGGACGGACTTGGTGCCTCGGTTTGTTCTTGGCTCGAGCGGTGCCATGGGTTTTATTTTTTATTTTTTTCTGTTTTATCACCGAGTCTGACCCGGTTGAATTTCGCTACGGGGGTGGCAACTGACTCGTAGACGCGAAGAACGACCACGGAGATATCGGCGGGGGATGGAAATTGAAATTGGAAGATCATTTGATGGTGATGAGCTAAGCACCCTCGATAAGGCGAGATTTTGTGAGCCGCTCAGCAGGAATGGAATTACGCCGAGATGATGATTTCATGTATCTCAGGAACGAGTCAGTTTGCCCCATACTGCTGAGGGGAGTGTTGGAACGAGTATTGTCCACTACGTACCGTAGGCATTCTTAAAGATTGAATTGCTCATAAAGAAAGGTTGCAACCCTTTAGTCGATACTAAATTCGAGCACACATATACACATTCTACTACTGTTGGCAACCCAGACGAGGGCAATAATGACGTTTGTCGGTAAATAGGGAATATTTAATAATATTGTTTCTGGGATGACCTGTGGAGAGTCGTCGGCGTTTTGGGAACCGACTCGAACGCCATCGTTGCGCCTCCTCTTGCATACGAAATTGACATAGACTTCCTTTGAGTACAGGCGTAGGATATCGCTGGAAAAGAGGAAATGTACGAGTACACAGCGTCTCTTCTAATAGTCGGGTTAATTCATATATTAGGAACACTACGTAGTACATTTAATATTGTAATTAATCATTAACTCGGCTGACTTGGCCCTGCAACCCGTTAACTGATCCGTTTGTGTGATGCCCAGGATTTGAAGGATTACATGAGACAAGCCGGCGAAGTAACATACGCAGACGCACACAAGCAACGAAGAAACGAAGGGTAAGATTTTTCCCAAATCTCTGGGCTATGCGTTATTTTTTTTTTTTTTCTATTGGCTGATCCCTTTTTTTAATCCATTGTCATCTGCCAACAGGGTCGTGGAGTTCGCCACGTACTCGGACCTCAAGAACGCGATCGACAAGCTGGACGACACCGAGCTAAACGGACGTAGGATTCGGCTAATCGAGGACAAGAGACGCGGACGTCGCTCCCGGTCGTCGAGCTCGAGATCGCAGTCGCGATCGCGATCTCGATCCCGACGTCGCTCGCGTTCCCGCTCGAGGTACGATCGTCGTTACTCGCCTCGCCATTACTTCCGCACACTTTCTTCCAAGTCGAGCCCGATTAATCCTCAGTAATCGCTTGGTCGAGTCATAACGCATCGGTGCCGTGCACTCGCCTCGTAGTCGGTCGTTCCGTCCAATTTAATTTACGCTTCGTCGATCGAGACCCTGCACGCGAGGAGAAGACTCCTGGGATCCAATTCTCGAACTCATGCGGATTTAATTCCCATGCGAATTGTTTTTATATCCGCTTCATATATTTTATCTAGGCGCATAAAAAATGTTGCACGGTTGCAAAGTCATTGGTCATCGTTTGGAAGTGGTATGCGACAATTGTCAATTTCGCGTGCGGAAGTTTGACGTATAAATTTGAGAATCGGGTCTCCGGTCTTGGCGTCGTGTAGCGAGAAGGCGTAGAATTTATTTACTGGAAGCCTACGGACGAGCCGAATCGTGACGGAGGTTTATCCGTCCATTTCCAGGGCTTCTCTTTGTACTAACAACGAGTTTATCAACGAGGGAACGTCGCCACTTCCGAGGAAGAGGAGACTCTCCTCGCGCCTACTCTTCGGGGCTCGACTCGTCCCGCGTGCATGCTCGCGTGTATTTTTTTTTTCTCTCCTCCTCTCTCCCCCTTTTTCTTTCCTTCGAGTCGCTCGAACTCGGGAGATTTCTTTTCTCCATTTTTTCTTTCGCGTTCAGTAGATACCGCACAGTAGCTCGAGTGTCTCGAATGGAATGGAAAGGGGAAGAGAGGATGGGAGGCGCGTGCCGGAGGAAGGGCTGGGAAAGTATTTCCGGTGGGTAATTTTGTTTCTTCCCCCTTCTCTTTTTTCTCTGCCAGGAGCCGCCGCAGCTCTCGTAGCCGTAGTCGCCGCAGCAGCCGTTCCAAGTCCAGGGCACACTCGAAATCCAAATCAAAGTCCAAATCCAAGTCTCCCGAGCGCAGCCGCTCTCGTTCCAAGTCCAAGTGAGTACCTCGTCCCACTTTTTTCTCTCTCTCTCGCTTCTAATCGCTACTTTTCGCTCTTCTTCGGCCTCGAGTTTCCCCTCTGGTTCTCTCTTCGAGCCCCGTGTCCTCGATCGCGCTTGGCATTGTCTCCCGCCTATTATTATTTTCGGTTCCACCTGCTTTGTTAATCGAAACAGTCCTCTTTCAGATGCAGCGTGAGTACCGTCATCCTTGGCGCCACGCCTCCTGTTTATTTCACGATTGGTCGTTGTTTTATTTCATTGGACGCATACACCTCTTCCCCACGTCCTCCACGTGGTGTGAGACCTTTCGATCTTTCCCATGTTCCATTCGACAATTCACCCTGGATTTGTAGTTTCCTCTCCTAGAGGTGTGTACGTCCGCTTGCGAGGTCGTTACTGGAATTGCTTTTGGGTTAGTAGTACTCGACATTTTTGAGAGTATCGCCAGTCCCGTTTTCCCCGTGCACTCGGTCTAGCCCTGACTTTGACACGCTACTCGGTCCCGGGTTCGAGTCTCCCCTAGTTCTCTCCGGTACACCTTTGGCCACCCTTTCTTGCCGTCAACCTTGACATGCGATCTCGCGGGACCTGCCCATGGCAGCGTACCGCGCTCAATGTCGACGCCTAAGTCAAAATCAAAATCCAGATCTCGTTCTAGGTCCAAGGCTGAGAGGTCGAAGTCCAGGTCGCAGTCCAAGCCCAAAGCCAAGTCCCCCTCGAAGTAAGTGCCCCAGGGGGAGAGCCGAGGGAACCCGGGGGGCTATTCGCTTGGAAATCGGTGATAACGATTCCCTTTCAGAGTCGATTGCCTTTGATTTCACGTGATGAGCAAAAATGCGATTCGGTAACAAGTGACGTGTGAAATGGTAGCAATGTTTTCGATTTCAACGATTTCCAGGGATTTCTGCTTGCTATTTCCAGCTGATTTCGTAAGATCTATGATTTCTTTAGTGAGTACCCCCTCGGAGGGAAATTTTACCCTCTCCTCGCCGCTTACTTCGCTTTGCCCTAGGACTTGGCGAGACGCGGGGAACACCTCGGTCGGCCGGATAACGTGCCCGTGCTCCGATTTACTGATCCTCCTTTCCTATTTCCAGGGACAGGATGAGCTGGGAACGATCGGCCGATGGGAGGTCCAGGTCACGCTCGGGCAGCAAACACAGCAAGAGTCGCAGTCGGTCCAGGTCGCCCATGAACGGGGACAAATCGCCGGACAACAAGAAGGACGACTGAACGAGTGAACCGACCAAGAATCGCGACACGATCGAGACCCTCCGTTCGATCGTCTCTTTTTCTTATTCCGTTTATTTTCTTTCTTTTTCCGTATGATATATTCGTCGTAATCGAGACGAGTTAGTTTCGTCCGAGGCAGGAAGTCGACCGATCGGTCAGGACTCCCCGGCAAGGACCTCGGTTGTCTTTCACCGATCGGGAGATTCTTTCTTCATCTTTTTTTTTTCTCATCGAACCGCCATCGAACGCGAGAAAGTACGCTAAGAGATATATAGGAGCAATCGGCTAACAATCAAACATCCGCGCGTTATTACTTTTCTCTTCCTTACTTGTATCTTCTCCTTTTTTTTTTTTTTCTTCTCTTCTCGCGCTCATGGAGAACCAACTCGGGCGTTGGTTTTTTATCGGTGGGGGTACGCGTACGTCGGATTCACGACGTTCACGGAAATTACGAGCCGACACTGCACGCATTTAGACGACTAAGGTTTCTTCATTCGTACCTCGAACGAACTCTACGCGTTTTCGACGTATCGCCGTATAACATAAGGAGTTCCCTTGTAATGGTTTTTGTATATATTCCTAATAATTACATTACTGTAAGAGAGGACGAGACGAGCTCTTGGTGTGTGTCCGACCCAAGGCGATCCTTAACCCTTTTGCCGTACAAATTAACTCCGCGAAATCCGGGCGAAATTTTTCGGAGAACAAGCCCATATGGTGAGGAGTGATTTTCGCAAACGGGAGTATTTTGTTTTATCCGAGATCACAGATGTGGCAAGGGGTTAACGATTATAACAGATACCCAGAAGAGCTTGGAAACTCGACGGCTTCGCCGTGGAGTTCTCGTCGCTTCCATGACGTAGTTGCCGAGTATCGAGGCGAGATTACGAGAAAACGTCGATCCCTCTCATACGGTCGGCCAGCTAAGCGGTCGTAAAAGGCGCGAGAGGATCTATTAGGTGTTGCCACGCGACTGATTTTAAAGTAACGAGTCGGTGAGTCACCGCGTGTGCCCGATCCTCGTACAGTTGGACCCCTCTCGGAGAGCTCTTTCTCCAGTTGGCAACCGAGAGCACCTAAATAGCACCACGCGAATCCGCTTTATCACGACCGAGCGAGTCCTATCGGATCGCTTTAGCGACAAAAATCGGTTCATCTTCCTCCTGGGATTCTGGAAAATCCTGTTTAATAAGATTTATTTGTCCATCCCCGCGTGCTGAAAATTTCCTCCTTTTATTGATCCGCCCCCACGTGGCGGCCGGGAGGGGATGAGCAGGGCCGCGTCATCAAATAATACCGAAAGTGACAGCTATCGGTGGATTAGCCGAGTGCATCGATTACGCGACGGTTCCTCGGGACCTGCCTTATCGACCGGGCCGGGGGTATCTCGGGTCGACGGCACGGAAGAAAGTGCAAGGGGAGAGGAGGGGAGGAGTGGGTGAGTCAGCCACGGTCAAGGGAACGCCGGGTGGGGGGCGCGGCCGGAGCAGGGCATGCGGGCGACGCGCTCTCATTGGCTGCCGCCCGCTCCAACGGAAAGCCACGCCCCTCATTGGTGCTCGCAGGCGCGACCGACTCCCGGCGATATCAAGCGCGGCCGACGCGACGCACCGACAACCGGTCGGCCAGTAACGGTCGGTCACAACTCAGTACATTCTCTGCCCTGCCCTTGAACGCTCGGCTGCCCGGTAGCTCCTCGTGGCGCCCTTCGAGTCGCACTTGACAACTGACAGGTCAGTGTCCAAGCGGTTTTGTTTTCCTTTTTTTTTTTTATATATACATATATACGCGGTGCCCCTCCGGCGCGGCTCTAACCATCGCGCTCTCCGATACGCCGGGGTCCTTGCTCGTCCCTCCGGCGATCCCGGCACTTTGGCGAAAGCCGCGAGTCTCGACCTGTGGAAACCGGGCCGGATATTTCCCGAAATCGGCGCAGGGTGCGGCTCGAACATATTGGGAGACCGGGACCAGGTGCGCGTCGCGCTTCCTTTGACGAGGGCCATCCTCGAGCCTCGCTCGACTCGACTCGACGCCGGTTGCGACACTCGCGCCGCGAAGGATGTCGAGATTTCCATGGAGAAAAGGAGCGCTCGAGACGGCGCGACCTGGAAACGGGAATATCGGACAGGTCGAGAGACGCCGGTGGAACCGGAACGGTTTTCGAACGCCGGCAATGGCGATCGATCGCCCCGCGCGAGCGAAACCTTACACGTGGCGGGGCGAAACGGTTGGGAAATGCCTCGCTTTAATCGAAAATTCATTAATCGATCGATCTTAAAGGTCTTAACGGGAATCGCCGTTGTTTAAATCGAAGGAACGACGGTTTCCGGGGTGGCGCTCGCGGTTGCTAAGGGATGAAATGTCTCGCCTCCCGTGAACGATCTCACCAGGATTCCATAGGGGAGAGAGAGGTCGCCACAATCGGGGGAGGATTTCGCTCGTTTTCCGGCTCGATGCCAATGATATCACTTTTATTTAGACGCCCCTGGGAGCCGTCGTAAAATTTTAACCGGGAGGGGATGACGCCATCGATGACGTGTCCGCCATCGATCGGTGACGTCACGGGAGGGACGTGACGTCGCCGCAGCCTTTCCCCGGTTTTTGAAAAAGTACGTTTCTCGTTCCCCTCCCCGTGATATACGTATACGTAGACTTTGGTTATCGCATCGACAAGTGGCGCGATGCCAATTGGATTTATTACCCTGAACCGCTCTAATTTATTCAGCATTCGCTTAGTTTAACGCGCTCCTCATTGATGCAACCACCGGCTGCGAATTAATTACGCGCCTGCCATTTATTCCCCGTGATTTGCCTCCCACGTTCGGGGAGAGAGAGAGAACCTCCGGCGAGGTTATTGAATATTCGTTTATACGTGAGGCGGATCTTTGGGATGTCGTAATCCTGTTCAAATTTCTCAGTTTTATTTCATTGGCTTGTCATTAAATATGTATTTGGCTGAAACTGACGAGTTTCATGATCCGGCGAGGAAACGCGAGATTTTTTTTTTTTTTTGGGAGGGAGGTTTTTCCCCTTGTTCGCCCGTCGAGCACGATATGAGAGGCTGGGGTGGGCCTGGGCGTGGTTTCGAGCGCGGAAATAACCTTATCTGTGGCTTGATAATTTCTATAGATCTCGATTACGGGGAATTAAATTCGGAACCAAGGGATTTTGGAACTGGGGACGGGGGGCGGGCGGAATTCGCTTGCCTCCCGGTTTTCCGACGAAGAGGGGATCCTTTGTCTCCCTGGGAGGCTCGACGATCGATCGGCTCGACAAAGGGTTCGTCGATTTCGGAATTGCCGGCTCTCGCGAATTCAGCGGATTCGGGGTCGAGCCTTGGACAAAATGGACGAGGAGAAGTGCCCTGGGCGTGGCTCTCGGCCCTCCGCGGAACTGCCTGAAATGAAATGGATTGTATATATAAATTATTCTTTCCGCAATTCGAGGCGATATTTTTTTTTTTCCCCGGAGTCAAGGCATCACATTTTTCCCCGGAATATTTCTTTCCGAGATTCGAGGCGACGTACTCTTGAGCGGGGAATTTCTTTTAGCGACTTAAGACTTGCCGTATTCCTGGGCGACATTTTTTTTTCTTTTTTTTTTCTCGCGATTCGGGGCTATACATCGTCCGGCGGGAAATTTTTTCCGGGGTTCAGGCCGCCGTATCTTTGGGCCGGGGATTTTTTTTTAGCGACTCGGGACGCCGTTTTTCTTGGAGACGAAATTTTTTCGCGATTCGGGGCTCGACGAGAGTTTCAAGGTCTCGCTCGGGGGGGGGGGGGGGGGGCAAAGCAGGGCGTGGTTTTGACAGATGCGCCGCCACGCGAATGTCAACCTCGAACGTACGCCGAGCAGACCTTGGCTGTCTCGTTTCGGTCCCTCGCGCATGCGCGCGTACGCATCCCTCCGGGTGAAAAAGAGCTTCCGGCCCCTCCGACTCGAGGGCTCCTCGTTAGCCCTCGCGTAAGTAAGGGGGACTGAAAGGACGCACCTCGGCTTATCTCCCGGATACCCGAAAACCGGAGCTAAATTGGAAACGCACCGCCACGGCCCCCTTCTTTTCGAGGACTCGAAATTTAAATGCACCTGCCGAGGGGAACGGCCCGCGCGAGATTAACCTCCTAATTGATCGTCGTATCACATCCGGCGAAAATACGAGATCATCCGTTAAAACGTACCGAGTTAATTCACGGAATAATTATCTCACTTGGGCGATTGGACGTTTACTCGGAATCGTGAGAATTTATTTTTAGTGGGATAATAGAGGAATTAACGGAACGTTTTGTGGGTTCAATGAATTTTTTTTTTTTTTTTTTTTTTCTCAGAGTAGAACGCCACTTTCGTCGCGCCTTGGAGATTCCTTTTAGGTTAGGTTGGAGCCGTTCCGGGTGGATGGGACGCGGGGCCACGCGTGGCCGGCGCTCCGGCAATTACGGGGCGAGAGCGCCGCAACGCGGGACTAACGAGTCGAAACTCCGGGAGGGAGGAAGGAACGTCGGCACGCTCTTGGAACTCGCTCTAAGGACGCGGATTTTCCCTGTAACGGTGCAAGCGTCCCGGTTCGAGGACGCGGGCCTCCCGCAATTAACCGGGCGCGGTGCTCCCTCAGCTGCCGCACCGCGCACGCGCGGGCCGCACAATGCACGCAATCTACGCAACGTGTCCGGCATAACCGTATAACGCGAGAGGGGCCAGGGTGGGGAAAGAAGTTATCCCGGCTCGGCCTTAAGGGGATGTGAAAGTGGCATCCGAAAGCTCGATCGTTCATAAAATATTTCATAGAACTGGGTGCACCGAATCGTTGGACACTTTATTACGTATATAATATAAATAATAATAATATATACACACCATTCCATACATATGACAGTTGAATATCACCTTGACGCGCTGCGATCGGAAAATGGACATTTTGATAGACACCGTGTATATGCACGCGGACATGTGTATAGGTGCGGACCGCACCCGCCCCAACCATGACCATGAAATTGGGAAGACCTTCCACCGCACCGCCCCACAGGGAGGGGGGTGACTCCCTTCTGTGAGCGTTCGCAGTTTACGAAGGGGTGGTGGGTGCCGGTGGGCGAAAGGTTAACGGCGGAAGAGTGCGTCCCCCCGGGGACCCCCTCGACCCCCCACCGGCATTCTCACCGGCAATCGATGGAACCGTCTGCCCCGCGTCGACCGCACCCTCCACCTTCCACGCGATTCGGAGGAACTCGAAAAAACTGCGAGATACCTGCCGGGATTTTGGCCAATTCCGATAATACAGGTGGGCGACCACCTTCCAAGGGAAGAGGAGGGTTGACGTAGGTCAGGTCGGGGTATCCCGAGAGGCTCCAGGGTGTCGAACGCCTCTTATCAATTCTTATATATTGTAAGGTCCACGGTTATCGCCGGGAGGAAGATCGACGCTTGAATGGGGACTCCTGGATAAGTTGGAAAAATTGAGGTGGAACCCCCCTGGGGGTTCTCTGCCCCGCTCCTCTTTGTTATCTCCTCCCACCGGAAACGGGGCGGCCGCGGAGGGGCGGAAACGCATCCGGAGATGCGGAAGGTCGTGCCCCCTCGGGGTGAAAATCCGCCGATTCATCCCCGGGTACCTCTTCCACCTCGGGGATCACCCCCGGGAATCGAGGAACATAGTGAAAGGGACCTCCCTTTTACCTGGGAATCTCTCGACCCTCTATTTAAATCCTAATCAAATTAATTCCACTTTAACGGGGGAAACCGATGTCGGGGGGCGACTCGCCGTCTCCGCGGGTTTCGACGCCCTCCACGGGAATAATCGAGTCCTCGACGGCCCCCTGATCGATTGTCCGATGGAGAATTTGCTTCCACGGTATCGATCCGCCCAGGGAATCCTCGTTTACCCCATGTTAATACATTTCCTTGTTAATCGTCCCTTCGATTCCCGGCAGGACAGTTTTCTCCCCTCGTGGGGTGACAGTCCCTTCTCGGGACCGCTAGGTACTCCCCATTATTCCCAATGGACTTTTCAAGGGACAATCGCGGATTTCGGGGGTATATCCCTTCTCTTTCCCTCGATTTTCTGACTATCGATCCGCGGGCCCGGGCTTTTGCCGCCGACTCTCGACGAGGCTTCGCTTCGCCCCGGCGCGGCGACGCACCGCGTCGTTCGATACGCGCTATTCGACGTCGGTAACCGGGGATAACGTTAATTTCGATAATTTAGACGTTCCGCAACTACGCGATGCGTCGACCCCGGGGTTTGGATCGTCAGGTGCACCTGGTGCAGCTTCTCCCTTTCCCGGTTAGATCCTCCGATCGGGACGAGTCCCTCGTGGCCATTCGAGCGCGGAATCGCGAATCGAGGATCGCGATCGGCAGTCTCACGGGAAAAGGAGTCTGCGACCCAGTTACCCCTTTGGCGTCTCCAAAGGCTCTCTTCTTGTCCGATCGAAGCCTTGAAGGCAGGCTATCGTCGATCGCCTCGAAGGCGAGGGACATAAATCGCGAGCCCGGTGATAAGATTGCGTCCCCGTGACGAATCGCACACCGAGTCGCGATGCGATCCTCCGGTACGGAGGAATCGAACGATTTTCCCAGCAGGAAAATTTATTAAAATATCTTCCCCCCCCCCGTTTCGTTCTACCTCGACCGCGAGGACCGTAAAACCGATGGCCGCACGCAGGACGATAAATCCCGAGGTCGTTGACGCGTCGTTTAAAAATGTACAGATTTATCGATACGATTTATCGTCGCGACTTACGCCACGTGCGTGACCGCCTTAACTCCGCCGGGGAAGAGAAAAAAAAATTTGCTTTCACCGGTATATTCGGCCATCGCACCTCCACTCTTAATATGCTTAAGAGGATAATTTTTGGACGCACCGGGGAATAATTTCTGAAAGAGATAAAAAAAAAACAAGAGAAAATGAAAATTATCGGATAAACGTCTACGCGCTGATTAGCCGCGGCGAATTTTGGCCAACGGAGCGTGTGGCTTGACATTGAATTCGTTCTCGGCGGAAGAAACGGCAAACGGGCCCGTTATTCGCACTCGAGGTCCCCGAAGTCTCGGGGCAGAACAAGTACCCCCCGTACGCACGCACGTGTGCGTGCGCGTACATCTGTGGTGCACAGGGGGGGCCGGAGGGGGGGAATATTTACTTACGCGCATTCATCCTCGCGTGGTACGCGTGTTAGTGTACAGGAGGGTGTACGCGAAACGCGTCGATGGGGCTCAATCGACGCACACGCGTGTACGCACCTACATGCCTCTCGGTCCAGGCCTTACGGTGCGTCGTTACCGGCGCGATTGCGTGTATTCGGCCTCTTTCGCATCCACCTATATTCAGCCTTACCATTCGTTGCCTTATAAGGACAACAGCCTTGCCGATCATCCGATATATATATATATATATATATATACACGACGCGCCGCCGCGGCGCTTTACGGCCGCGCGTCTCGACGACTCTCGGCGCGGCGCAGATGCGAAAATCGGCCTGGCCCGTTGGTTTAATTAGTGGTAATTCTATCTAACTCGATCGAGGCCCGGCAACTATAATACTCGATACCAGTTACATTGGGACGCGGATAAATTAACGGGCGTCGATCGATCGACGCCCCCGCGCCGCTATTAACGCAATTCTCTCTCGCACCGCGACGCGCTTCCCTGCGCCGCGTACTTGCGGTTTGACAATTTTCTTTGTATACATTAACGGAATTCTCCCTCGTTGGGGAGGCGTATAACATGTCGCCTGGTTAATTGAAACTCGGTTTTCGAGCGATTCACCGTCGCTCTAGTAGAGGAACATGCCGCGAGTCGCTGACTGCGTGGGGTTTCGGAAACGCGAGGCGGTGGAGGGACATGGGGCGAGAGAGAGAGGAGGGACCAGAGGGTCTTGCACTCTCGTAGGCTCGAGATTTACATGAATACGCGGGCGTAATGCGTCCGACTGGATATATCAGCTTGTTACAGAGTTACGGAGAGAGCCGTATTACCGCGAGTGACTTCACCCACGTGGAATGCAGGCCCGCTTCTGGCTCGCTCCTCTTTTATACGAGCGAGTCCCTTGCCCGGTTTCTCCGCGGGCGATCCTGCTTCTTCCTCGAGGCTCGCATTCGACGGGACGAGAGCCTCGTCCATCGCGAATCGAGGTCGGAAGGACCTACCGGACCTCGGATTATTTTTAACGCTTAGGTCGAGGGAAGATCCTCGACTCCGAGAGGGTCTTCAGGGTCCTCGCGACCATCGAGGAAGTCCTTCGGTCCTGACGTACTTTTTCTCCGGGTTCTTAGCTCCTCGTTCTCTCGCGGGTAACGCGCAGCTGGTTGAAGCCAGGAAGGGAACTCGACGACAGGAAGCTTCGGACTACCGTTTCCGTCCGTGAGTAACCGAGTCCTTCCTTCTGTTTGCCAGGTGATTCATCCGATGTTTGGCCTGGTTGAACACCTCCTCGTGATAACGCCTTCTGTCTCTTCCAGACCTGGCTTACAGGTGTACGAGTTATCTTTGATGCGTCGACGAGGGGATGCCAGTGTAAATGAGCTTTCTTCGAAAAATGATTATTACCCGTTGCCGGGGGGTTCCTCGTTAAGCTCGCCATGGAACGTTGAGCTTGCGTCGATACGTCGTTAGCTTCTCGAGGAGACGGAAAAAGGAAAGAAAAAGCGGCACGAGAGCGGAAACGCCAGCCACGCGTTTCTAAGAGCCTCGGTATCGTGTGCCCCGGTACCGTTGCTCGTCCAGGATTTATTTATCCTCGCCGAACGCGTCGGTGAGTTCTGAAAGGAAAAAAGGAACGATTGTTAAAAATAATGGAGGCAGCCTCGCGGGATCCGGCAATGTCAGAGGAAATGCTAATTACACCGAATCACACATTTTCGGCTCGTGGGCAATACCTTATAGGAAGTTCGACGCCTGTTCCGAGGAATCCGCGACTATTGCGAACGGCAGGAACCGAATCCCTGTACCAAATCGCTCGATAAGCGCTCGCTTCTTGTCGCTCGATAAGCACTTCCGCTTCTAAGCGCCTGGAAACGTCGCAACGAGGACCGCTAATATACTCCGGGCACTCGGAAATGCCGAGAGCCGTACTCGAGTGGTGCTGCAAGAAAAATCCCCGGTAATTAGGCGCGGATTAACGCACGCGTTAAATGATACTCCGCGAGTTAATGACTCGCGCCTGACGAGAGCACTTAGTCGCTACGTGCGCAAATAAAGACTGTAATACTCTTGGAGCCATTCCGAGAGTTGACAGCGACAGTTAAGTGCGCTTTAAGTAAGCCTAACGTAATTGTAATGTAATTCTATTGCATAGCACGAAGTGTGCCGGCAATTTTTAACGCTCGCAAAAATTCAACGACTCGTCGATCAGTGGACGTTTGACGTTCAAGGTGTCGCGTTCAAATTGGCGGGCTCGGGCCTTTTCGCAGTCACAGTCTCGCTGTCAACCTTGGCAGTTTCCCTTTTACGTAGCGAGTTCGACGTGACGCGAAACCGAGAGAGGAACAGGATGGGCGCGGGTGTCCTCCCGGGGTTCGATAAAGAGGCGAGGGAGGAAGTGCGATCGCGTTGAATACGCATTGAATCGCGACAAAAGGCACCGGGGAATACGCGCGTTTCGCGACGCGGCGCATTCCACGGAATTGCATTCTCGCGAGTTCTCGCGTCGCCATCCTGGACAATGGGCGATATTTTGCAAACTTCGCCCCCCTGGAAACCGCGCGGAGCTAAATGACGGTACAATGAATAAACTACAAGGCGCGTACTAATTTTATCTCCGTATCTCGTTGCAGATCAACAAGTGGCCGCTATGTCAAATCCAGTAAGCCCGTCGCTGAAAGACTTGCCCAAGGTTGCCCTCGACTTTAAGAGCGAACTGGAAGGGTTCAACCACGGGTGTATGAAGCACGCTGCCACCGCCGAGAAGAATGTCCTGCCCTCGGCCGAAGGTATCCCTTCTTTCAGTATAATTCCCCTGCGAAGGAAAAATAATTATTACGTTCATTTCTGTCCATTCAAATCCTCTGGGGGAGACTATGAAAAAGAGTTGACCTTGAATTCCAGACGTGGCTGCGGAGAAGACTCAGCAGACGCTGATCGCCGGCATCGAGGCATTCGACCCGGCACGATTGAAGCATACGGAAACGCACGAGAAAAATCCACTTCCTGATAAGGATGGTGAGTCTTGCATCTCGGATGTGACTTTGGCTCTTTTTTCCATTACTCATTCGATCGCTTCCCGTCCACAGCCATCCAGCAGGAGAAGGGCAAGCAGCAGCTTATATCCGGAATCGAGAATTTCGACCCAGCCAAGCTGAAACATGCGGAGACCCAAGAGAAGAATCCTTTGCCGACCAAAGAAGGTTAGTCATCTTCAAGGATCATTACCTAGTCCATTAGCCATTACCCTCTGTGACGGTACGTGATTTTGTGTACGTGAATAGAGAAATCGAAGGGTCGCTAATCTGGTCCTGTGATTCCTTTCAGCGATCGACGCAGAGAAGATAGCCGCTTGAAAGGTGGTGGATCGTTCTACGATCGAAGGAGCGGCAGTCCGTCATTGCTTCCACTGTCTATGTCCTGATATTTCGTAACGATAAAGGCAACTTGCATTACCCGTGCGACCGCGGGCGCGATGCACCGCGACCAATGTAATCTCCCAATTAATTACTTATGCTCCTCGCGCGTCACATTAATCCCTGGGTTGAGCTCCAATCGGGCGCGAATTCCGAGCCGGCGTTACCCTCGAGCTCCCTAGATAAAGAAAGGAGAAATTAGCAAGGCGTATCGCGTACAAGCACTCCGGGAGTGAGAAAAAAACCCGCGGCCTCCTCACCAGGGCGTACTCTCCTGCTCGGACGCGCCGGGCATTCCTCCGCTCGACGATGAGCCGTGGGTTCCTTCCCGATTTTGTAAAGCATCTCAGACCCAGCGAAATTCTCGCGAGACGAGTCCTGGTCTCCATTATACGTCACACGCCGCTCTGGAGCGTATATTATAGTTTCCTCGCCGATGGAACGCACCATCGGCGACCTTGCATGCGTTACAGTCGTCATGGCGGTACAGCGGTTGGTATACTTTTGTAAAAATCATATTTTATATAACGGGCTATTGTACTTTTTTAATATTCATACATTTGCATTGTCAAGCCGATCGAATGATTGCGACGAATAAATGATCATTTATAAGAAGGAGAGTTATATTCACATGTGAGGTGGCCCCGAGTTCTTGGCCTCTTGTAGGTTATGGTTGCTTGGCCAGGGTGACTACACAGTATATTTTTTTTCTACTTGAGCTTTTTATAATTAACCCTTTTATTACAATTTATTGGTTGAAAGGTTTCTTACGTTTTGAAGACGTTACGCTGGGGGAAGTTGTGCTGGAGGGGGAATCAAAACAATCTGTATTTAAAAAAACGTACGCACACTTCGCGGGAAAATCGAGGATTACTTTTGTGTGCGAGGTTAACCAATGGGATGAGAGGGAATTCAAATGGCGCTTCTTGATTGGTCGATGCGCTTCGACCTCTGGGTAATCCGTGGTGACTGCGACCACTAAATTCGATCGACCAATCGCGTTGCTCGATTGAAAGCGATCGACCAATCACGTCGCTGTCGTGCCGCCGGCAGCCAATTGGATCGCTCGGCTCGTATTTCGAAAATACCTTTGTGTAAAAACACGAGGCAAGGCCTCTTGTTGTTTCGCATCTCGTTCTAGTCGAATCACGGCCTGCTGGATATCGGGGATATTGTGAGACCTTTGAGAAGTGCTTTTTCCGAAACTGTAGTCCTTAATACACTGTACGTTTCATGCGGCTGCAGTAAAAACAGGTAAGCATCAGGATGTTTTTTGCGCTGTATCTTTGTTGCAACGATCGCCGGCAATACCACCACGTGCTTTGTTTGCCCGAGTTAGCATTGTCCCGCGAACAATGAGTGGCAACTCGTGACAATTGGATGCTAACACCGGTCTTATTGTTTTATATTACGTGGTATGTTTCTCATTGCGCTTAGTTGAACCTTTGTTAACTTGTATCGGAATGCGTAGTGCCGCAATTGGACAGTGGAATTTTTTTCTGTCGGAAGCAGATTTCTGTTTTATTGTGAACCGTATCATTGATGTTTGAAGGGGATCCAGTGATACCCTGTTATAACGTGTTGATCTGTCGTAGATCCAAGTTTGTCTTTGAAAAAATCTGATGAAAACTGTGATCGGAAAATAATGTATGATTTTAAATTATAATTCAAGGAAACATGGAAATCTCACCCAGAAAATCTTCAAAGCGAATGCTAGAACCAATAGACGAGTGGTTACAAAATGAAGGCTATTTTAGAAAACACACACCCAGAGACCCCACGTGTCTATTTCGAGCGATCAGTGAACAAGTTTATTCTATTCAGCGTTATCACATTCGCGTTAGACAAGAATGCGTCGAGTTTATGAGAAAGAACAAGGACTATTTTCAGGAGGTTTTGTTAAAATCTTGATCTTTGATTTATATTTGTTTTTATCAGCTGAGATTCAAGAATGAACATTGTATGAGCTAAATTTTTTTTTTTATCGTAGCATGTGAACGTTCCATTTGATAACTACTTGGAACAAATGTCTTATGTCACTGAGTGGGGTGGAGAACTTGAAATAAAAGCCATATCACTCCTTTATAAAAAAGACATTATCGTGTTCCATGGACATGAGTTAACTCGACAGAAAGTGAGCGATAATAATTTTGAAGAATGCATTTATTTATGCTTCACCCTGCCAAAACAGTATGAAAGTATTTACTCAAAGGAGTTTATTTCCTCTGCTGCATTTTGCCAATGTAGGTTTAGTTTTTTATATTATCTTTTATCTATTCTTTGCCAACTCTTTAAAAATCCTATGATGTACGTCTTGTTCTTAGCTGTCGTATATAGAGTATTGTACAAGGATGTTTTTAAGATGCCTGATATAGATGATACTGTCCACAAAATGCTGCATGATCGTTCCAGTACATTTAAACATGACAAATTTTTCCATAAAAAAAATTTGGAAATGAGAGAGTAAGTTGTATAAATGCTTATTGCATGTATATTTTGATCTATACTTTTATTATTATGCTTTGCATGACACTAATATTGATCATAGTCGTGCACATACAATAAACGCACCTTAATATAATTTCTATACGCATATTGTTCTAGGCAATTGACTGAGTTGGTTACCAAAATGGAAGATGAATCAGAGGAAATATCAAGTACAAATGCCTTGATGAAAGGACTTACTCCTTTCCCTTACAGAATTGCAAAAGCTTTAGATCCTTGCATTTACCGCAATACAGATTTTGACATTTGGCACGAAACACGACGAGGTACATATTAGTTATTGTTTATATTTATAAAAACGATTATTTGTTATTTATTTAAAAATAAATTATGTGTCCTATGCAGAAATAAGAAATTCAGGGCAGTCCAGATATAATGGATTGGAGCTTCAAGTAGGAGGCAGATGCTTGGTTCTAATGGACATTAAGGTGGATGAGTTGGATAATATCAATAATAATTCTATGATCATCAGTGGTGATAAAGATACAGTTGGAAACGATCAGATAGCTGTCATGAAAACGGGAAAACAAGATATGACATTTAACGGGCATATACAAGAAATGACAAAGAATGAGGGTCCTGTAGTTGTTTTTATAGAAGAACTTGGAGAGAAACGGACTGTGCCATACGCTGCACTCAAACCAGTTTCAATGCAAAAAATTAAACAATCAACTTGGGGACTTCCTCCATCTAAGAAGAATGTGTTTGTCGAATCAAGTTAGTGTTTAACATTCAAAACTTGTATTTTTTTTTTTTTTTATGAGTTGTAACAAGTGTAACACCAGTAACAATTTTTCAGACCAAAAGTGGAGAAGGACTTGGGGATCGAATTGTCGAAAAATAAAGCATGCGGTGACTGCCTCTGATGTGTTAAATGATGATATTGACAGAAACAACAATAACAGTAATAATGGCATTATTTCTAAAAGCCGAAATGGTAATAACAATCACATTACAGGGACGAATAAAAATGAAAACGAAGAAAATATTCAGTGGGAGGAAGAGGTCAGGTATGGCACTCAACTACATATTTTTTTGTAATTGTCTGAAATTTATTATGTGAAAGCAGCAAAATTATTAAATGTTATTTTTCAAATATATTAAAAAGTCTAAAAAGTAAAATACTGATTATACAGGCATTGTGAAGATGGTCAACCTACAATGCTATTTGAAACTTATACAATGGAACAATTTACTTCCTTCCAAGGATTTTCAGTTAATGTAAGTAAAATCAGAATTTTGTATAATTAAAAATAAAAATTCTGCATGGAAGATATGAAGTTGAATTAAATTATATTTACGTGACCATTTTTAGACTTCCGTTGACGTTTTACCTGTAACAGTGGTACTAGATAATACTCAACAAACTGTGATGGAACATCCTATTCAAGATTGTTCCGAAGGGACTGAAAAGAATTCTGTTTCATCGTCAGAAAATCCTAGAGGTGATAATCTAACAAAGACAATTGCAGTAAACTCTACAGCTGTGGTTGCTGTTGAAAATAACGCTCAGTCATCTCAGATATGCACTCAGCGATCATCAAACGAAATCCAGTGCCCACCAACTTCTGGTACGTTTGTCAATATAAATACACTCTGTTTCTTACACGCACTACATTTATATTTTATTGCAGGACCAATGCAATTTTTTTCAGGGAACGCAAACATGTTCTACGTGTCTGCTGATGGCAACTTATCTCCGATACAGTATTTTGCTGGGAACTCTGTAGAATCAACGGCTTTGGTCACTCATATTGATCGTACTTTACGATCCATTAATCTTTCTGCTCCAAAGAGTGTAGATGCAACCGGTTCTGATTTGCCCTTCTCAGGTATTAGGATATGAATGATTTAAATACATTGATAAATTGAAGGTACATTTACATTTAATTTCAGATACAATCACTCTGAGATTCTTTTACAACTTAGGGTGGGAGGTTCGTATTGCTCCGTAAACGTACGTGTATAATAGTAATTTGTACGAATATGTATAATTTATAAATATATTTTTAGTACTTCCGTGCTAGTAATATGTGGACTTCAGTTGCTAATGGTCAAGCTGTTACCTTTGGATCGGGCAGTATGGAACAAATTGGTCCATCACAGACAAGCATGCCGAGTTCTGACCAAGGTATTGATACTAAACGAGTTTTAATGTACATACTGTAAAGTTTAAACATTTTATCATGCTTATATTGATTGAAGAAGGATTACCAACAAACGAAGAGGAAGTTTCTCGCTTGTCAAGTAACATGCGACAAAATTGCTCGATAACTCGACGCAAAGGAGATGGTTCAAATAATGGCGCTGGGCGTAATTCTACAGGACACCGTTTACCATTAAAGCCTGTCGGGCAACGCGCCGAGAATGTTCAAGATTATTCAGCGAGAAGAAACGAAATTCGCAAAGGCTCTTACGAAAACAATAAAAATTCGTACGTTGATTGCGATAGGAGCAAGGACCAAGCATTCTCAAATAGGGAAGTCAGGTTCGGAAGAAATGGTATAGCACCTCGCTTTAAAAAGAACTCCGACGGTGAGTAGAACATAATCGAGCGATGATTCTATAGCAATTTTCTACAAGCCAATAAAATTCTAAATTTCAGGCCGCCAAAGAGGAAGATTAAATCATCACACTCAACACCGTCAACTGCAACAATCGATTCGCTATCAGCAGAATACCGAAAACGTCGAAGCACCGCCTCAAAATGCAAACCAGAATGACGGGCAAAAACAGCGACTGAATTCTAACAACAATCAACCAGTTGGTCTAGCACTCGCAGGACATTGTTCTCCCTTCCAAGGTCCTTGTGCGCAACAAGCGATTTATCCGCCAGTGCCTTATTACTCAGGGGAAACTGAATACCCGAATTCGTTCTACGGACCCAATCCTCCGACCTTCTTCCCGGTGTCATACATTCCGCATGCGGATATAGGCGATGGAAATAACGGAGGGCAATACCCATCGCAAGTCTACGCCGGTACAGAGAATTTCACTCCATCGTTCGCGCCGCTGTGCCCACCTTATATGTATACTCAACAGAACATGTTCCCACCGCCGAATGCCCAGGAAAATTGGTATCCTCCACCGGCACAAACTCATTACGTGCAATTCTCGCCAGTACCTGCACCTCTACCTGGACCGACACCGAACCCTTAAAGGCCCTTCGTCGTATGTTAAAATTTAACGTTGTCTGACAAAATGCTCTCTTAGATGTCTACTGTTCGATCAGTGGGTGCGGAATTACTTTTGCATATTCACGACACCTGACATGTGCAAATTGCATTCTTTCTTAACAATTGATACAACACCTGTTATTCTACGAAGGTAACTCGTACGTACGTCGATGTACGTACGAATTGAAACATGATAACTCAGTAAGTCATACTTGTGAGAAAGACCCCTCGACTTCTTACGGATAAATTCTCATGGTTTTCTATAGTTATATATATGTTATTGGTTTTATAATAGGTATATCAATGATTCCTTTCTAACGTGTTCAGCGGTTATTTAGTTCCTATTTACTGAATTATGGATTAATTTGTTAGTTTCATATAGACATTTAATAGTAATATATTATATGGTTGTCCTGATTCTTCAACATTTCGGGTTCATTATGCAATTAGAACGCATTTAAGTACATTAACATCTTTAGTGGAAACTGGGTCGGTAATGCGAATGCAAATGCTCAGATGAGCAATTCTAAGTATTCGCCGGCGATTACGAATCTGTTATCTGTCAGTGAATGCATCGTATGCAAATACTTAATTAGTGCATAGTCTACATAGTTACTAATGTATAAAGCATTAATTATTAGAACATACTTTTGTACTTGAAAAGTTACTAATGTATTACGCGCTCTTTGCAGTCCACTTGGAATTCTAAAGAATTTAGTAGTTACGTTATTTTTCTTCAAAACTTTAATAAGTAAGCTGTTGATGTTTAAATTAATCTTATATAATCAGAAGGAATTTTCTCTAATTGCTTTTACGCAGTAAATTAACATCTATACCTATTGTCAGTATTTTCAAGGCATTGCTATGCAGTATAGCAGTATAGCAAATATCATTTCTTTCAACTTTTATGTGAGTGACCATTTAATTTTTCTTTGTCACGAATAAAGTTATCAATCGTTCAAAGTTCTTTGAACATTGAATAATAACTTGATACCAACCTGTCATGGATTGTGTATGATTCAATCGTACACGACAATTGCATGACCGTAAAGCGCATATATCTTTCTCTTTATTGCGACTATAGTGTTATCGGTGAACATCACAGATGTATCGCAAGAAGTTTTAGCATACAGTTTCTCTCTGTTTGTAACACAAAGTTTGTAAGTTCTGAGAACATTTAAAGAATAACAAATTGGCTTTCATTAATGGTATTTTTAATATAATAATAAATATTTGGTTTGACAAAATTATTCTATTCTCTCTTTTTCAAATTTGTAATTCCAACGTTTTGCATTAAGTAAAATACTTTTCTTAACGAAATAAACGTTCAATTTTTATATTTTTAAATATTCAACTGGAAATGTCACAAAAATAGTTCCGGAATTTGCTATAGATAAAATTGAATATTCAAGTTTACCAGTAAGCGGTAAAAACTTTTTTCTCAGGACATACGAAAGGTGGCGTTTGACCTCGTTTAACATATGTGAGGGTGTGTATAGATCTTTCCTGCGTATTTTGTATTTTGTGGGCAATGAGGAGTTGAATCTGTCATTGCAACATTACGGTTGATTAATAAATAGGTAAGCACGTAATTTAAATGTAAGGAAGAATAACTTAAATGATTTAAAAGTGAACAGCTTGACTCGTGCGTTATGAAAAATTAGGTTAGGTTAAGAATAATGCACATTGAAATTGAATCAAATTCGTCTTCTCATCTGTCATTGAATCACGTAAGTGTAATCACTATATGACTTTGCGTGCGCTGTTCAAAAAACTTATCAGATTTTGAGGTATAAACTGCTGAACAATAATACCCTTTATACATAACCTCAATTTGGTTAACATTAATTTCTCTTTAAGGGAGAAGTATTGTAAAGTAACAAACCATTTTTTGGTCATATTCATTCTTTAATTCATTGGAATAGAGTGTAGACGCTGTTAATACAGTACAATGTGAGCATATGTTGGCATCGTGCTGTTGTAGGAGCGATGATTTCATATGAGATTTATGCAAACATGTACGAATGAGGATTTTTATTGCCTAACTGATTTTCTTAGATGGACACTGCTCATGTCTGCGGTCGTCTGATCGTCGATAAAGTGACAATGGAGCAGCAGGTACACGATGGCGCATCCTTGAATAGTTCATTTTCTGGGCACCTCGTACATGTATATCTGTTGTCATTTGCTTTGGGAAACTATAACATATAGTAGAATTGAATTATCTCAGTATGACAGAATTTTTTTTACAGCCTTCTTATGCATGCTCTTGTTTTACTTGAGACACGATAAAAGTTGAAGATCTTCATATATCAAAATTACTTTTGTATCTTGAGCATGGCTTTTAAATTTGTATTAATTTTCTCATTAATTACTAGCCATTCTATAGTATTCCATGCCTTATTTTGATAAAAAATGTTTAATAATATTATAACGCTACATTTTATTTTTTGAAATTTTGTTTGTATACTAATGTTAAAATATTAGTAGTATATCTAAGCTTATAATGTCAAAACATTACTTGGATTTCTTAGCAGTCCTATCTGTTTATTTACTTGTGCTTTAATTTTTACTCATTATTGCTTCCCCTTATTCATAGAACATTTATGCATTGTCTATACCGTTCATTCAGTCTTTCTTGTTGTCTACATTTTTTTAGATGTCTCTATGTTCGGCAGACAAAAGCATGTTTAAGCAGTTTTCTAAAGTACAGAATATCGTTTTTAGTCAACTACAAGTTCAAAGACAAAAATCACTCGATCTGAAGCCAGGCATCTGCGCAGAAAGAGATTGATTATTGCCCGCAAGGAAGCTGAGAAGAACTTATCAAATGTGGAAGATAGTATAGTAGTTACTAACAAGGATGATGACAAAGAAACTACTGTCGGAATTCTAACGAAATCAAAAGCTAAAAGGCTGCGAAAGAAAAATAAGCTTCTACATTCTAACGAAACTTCAAAGGATGAGATTGTCCTACCAGAATGTACGAAGCATTTGAGCAGTATTGGATGGTCTGTCAATGTTTTAGACAGTAACGAACAGTATGGTGAGAATTTTTGCGATGTGCAGTTCAACCCAGTAACTAATTTAAACGGTTCACCGCAACTTTATAAAAATGATCGCACTTGCAACTGGAATATTGGATCTGCAAGTGCTCTTAATTTAGAGAGAAATTTATCGATCGATCAAACTTTTTCTACATTCGAGGACACCTGTTTTGCTGAACTTGAGGACGCCTTTTCATCAGAATTGGAACTTTGTATCGCATCAAACAACAAAAAGAAGATCGGAAAACCATTAAGTACCAGTAATCCATTTCAGCATGACGCTTTTGTGAACGATGATCCCCAAATTAACATCGATTTTCGCTCAGGAGAGCTGACTTCTGATGAAAATAAAGAACATTTGAATCGTAGAGGAAAGCAAGAGAAACGAAAAAGGCAAGCACTGCAAGATAAAAAAGGAGCACGAGCAGTAATAGAATTGAATGAGGTAATTTTTAAAACACACTTATTTTTATTTTAAATTAATTTCACTCTATCTTTATTTTCCATAAGGATCTACTTTCAAAATGTTAAATAAATTAAATTTTTTAGCAGGGTAAGCAGGCGCAGAATTCTCATTACATATCAAGGAACGAGTTCATAGAAAATCAAAAAAACTTAGAAAATAGTGATCGCACCAATGTACTAACAGTAAGCTCCAGTGAAAATGAGCCATCTCGAGATGACATAGATTCCGGAACCAATTTAAGAACAGATCTTGCATTCAATGTGAATACAGTTCTTCCTAGTTTTATCAACAAAGAGAAATCCGTGATTGATTTAATTTCAGCTTCTATGAATGAAATTGTTCTACCTCAAAGCAGCTTGCCACGAAACTTGAGTGAATCAAAAGAAGCCGCTACTACGTCACAGGTTACTAGTGACAATTCCATGTTATTAACTAATACTACACAGAAAGAAACTATATCAATATCGGATATCCTACCAGAAGTCAATCTTAAACCTGCTTCAAACGATTCAAACTTATTAAACAACCCTGTTAAATCATCTGAAGTGATCATGATTCCTCAGGAAAAAACCAAAGAGCAAGTTAAAGCTGAAAGAGAAGCGAAGAAGGCAGCGAAAGCAGCTTTGAAATCAAAAGTTAAGGGAACAGCAATTAAACCTCAATCAGCTGAAGGATGTGAGAAAGAAACAGTAACATTGACAACAAATGCCGATATTCCTGTGTCCATTAAAAAAGAAATGGGCACAGATGTCATCGAGGCTGAAATAGTCCCTGCGGTTAAGCTAATATCTCTTGGTGTAACTAAAAAGATTTCAATAGAAAACAGTCAAGTTGATGCATCTGATGTTCCTGAAACAAAAGGAGTGACTAAAAGTAAAGCAGAATTAAGAGCAGAACGGAGAGCTAAACAGGAAGCACAAAGAGCTGCAAAGCAGGAATCAGTGATCAGTAAGAGCAAGAAAAAGACTACCGATGATACAAAAGTACCAACAACTCCAGTAAAGGATAACGATTCTGTTAAAAAAATTGTGAAGAAATCTGTAATTAGTGAAAATCCCCATGAAGTGAATTTATTTAAACATTTATATCAGAAGCAAGAGCTGTCACTGCATAATTTGCCATCCTTAAATACAAGTATACATCCGGCAATAATAAGGTTAGGAGTTCAATACGCAAGTAGAATCATAGTTGGGAGCAATGCAAGATGTGTTGCGTTACTTGCTGCAGTGAAGCAGCTAATTGAGGACTTTGAACGACCATCTCAAGCTGATTTTACACGTGGTTTGGAAGCCAGCTTAAAAGAATGCGTTACTTACTTGCAATCTTGCCGACCACTGGCTGTATCCATGCAAAATGCTTTGAAGCACCTTAAACGTCAAATGACACAACTGCCAACAACTATATCGGACCATGACGTTAGTTTGCATTTGATATTTCATAAATAGTCTAATCAATAAATCCGCCTATTATTATAAAGCTACATGTATATTTCCAGGCAAAGAATACTTTACGTAATGCAATAGATACTTACATCGTAGAGCAAATTCAACTTGCCGATAAAGCAATTTCAGAATCAATCCAGACAAAGATATCCAATGGTGATGTTATACTGACCTATGGATAGTAAGTTTTCGATTGTTTTATATTTGATTTTATAGATAAAGTAATAATATTAAATATTTTATTTCAACAATACACGTTTGTTTTTTAGCTCATCTTTGATTCAAAAAATTTTATGCGATGCGCATACTGCTGGTCGACAATTTCGAGTTGTTATAGTCGATGGACGACCCTGGCTAGAAGGTAAGGAACTGCTGAGACGTCTGGCAAAACATGGAATGGAATGTTCCTATGTGTTAATCAACGCACTGAGCTTTATTATGCATGAGGTTAGTTATACATTACACGTAGTTATATGTAAAGCATTAAATTATAAATATAAAGTATCCTGTAAATTATTGCTGACAGGTGAGCAAAGTTTTTCTGGGAGCCCATGCTATTTTAGCTAATGGTGCAGTAATGTCTCGAGTAGGAACCGCTCAAGTTGCTCTCATGGCAAAAGCCTTCAACGTTCCTGTCCTGGTGGCATGCGAAACTCATAAATCGTGCGAACGAGTTCAGACGGAATCAATTGTCTACAATGAAATAGGTATGATCTACATTTAAAAAAATTTAATAAGAGAATTAGAACTGCGATCATACGTAACGTGCTTTTTCAGGCAATGCCGATGAATTGACACGAGATCTCTTGTGTAGTTCGAAAAAAGGAGTACTTTCTAACTGGAGAGCTAAGAAGTCGTTAAATCTTTTAAATATTACATACGATGTCACGCCTGCTGACTTAGTGACAGCTGTGGTTACAGAGTTAGCTATTTTACCCTGCACCAGTGTTCCTGTTATTCTGCGAATTAAACCTTCGGAGATTTAGGCTTGAGCTTCGCAACTACACAGTTATATGAATACTATCTCTCTTTAATATAAATTCTGCTTAATATAAACTTGTAATCATTAAACCATACCCATTGTAAATTGCTTCGTGAATGTACTTTGGAATAAATAACTTTGTAATCTTCATTTTTTAAATTTCCAGCCAGGATAATAAACAGTAGAGAAAAGCAGAGATGAGTTGGGAGATTGCTCGCAGGCAGGGTCGTGCAATCGCATCCTGTGCTGCCCTCTGATTTCGTACGTCAGCTTTCACCATTTTTTGCTCCCAAGTTCAGCCCCGTTAGAAAAAAAAAGAAAAAAAAATCGCACCCCCTAAAAACCGACACATCTCCCTAATCACCCTACGATAATCAACAGAGTCCTTGGGAGCGTCCTCGGAGTCCTTCATCAACGCCGCCATGGATAAAGTCGCTTTATGGCACCGAAACGAAACGAGAGGGCAGCCCAGGATGCGATTGCACGACGCTGCCCGTGAGCAATCTCCCAACCATGGACGTAAGAATATATATTCTTACGTCCATGCTCCCAACTCATCTCTGTCTCTGATGCTTATTAATGCACATAGTCTATGAATTATTGCGGCTGACGCTCATTTTGATCGTCTGCTTGGAACACGCTTTGATATTTATAGGAAAATGCTTCCGCATGATTTAATCTTTTCGTTTTACTTATATTTGAAGTGCTTTTATAGAAACTTGTAGTAGCAATTGTCTAAAGAAAGTGTTATAGGTGAGAATCAACGCGGTGATGAGTTACGGTACAGTAACAGTTTAGCAGGCGAAGGTAATCTAACCTATTTCTTGGCAATGCACCGGTTTCCGAAGGAAATAAAATTATGTTGAAGTTCACGGGAATATCGCGAAAATGGGAACCTGGAACTACAGTGCTTTATTTGAGAAAACTAGGGACATGGCATGCAGAAATAGTGACATCTTCACAAACCCTCAAAGATATTTTTGTTAACGTACTCAGTGTAGAGCCCAAAAAGGTTTCCTTTATAATAAATCGATGCGTGCCCCTAAATGAGAAATCTAAACAGCAGGTCATGACAAATCTTTTCATATGCAAGGTATGTACCCAATAATATGCATAATTGTTTTGTTGGTACTTCGACAATAATTTATGATCTTAAAGGATTTAACTCTCTTTTTATAGAAAATAAACCTGTTCCAAGATAGAAAAGTTTCATCTGTGAAACTATTTGATATGCCACCTAGCACCTTTGAAATCAGAGGATTGCTGCTTAAAGAATTAGGCGTCACAGATATTGAGCCACTTCATATGTATCGGTATGCATTCATTTTTGTTCTAAACTATAGATAATTATAAATACTTTACGGAATTTCTTTTTTGTTCTACTAGTTTTGCACATTGCATGAAGTTGCCGATGTCATCGTTCAAGAAGCTGGCTAATATTCCCACGTCTGTAAATGTTTGTGAAAATTTGCTGAGTTACTTACACAAAGCTCCGCCTGAAGTACCACCGTTACAGCAACCAGATGATAACGCTACTGTAATGGATCATTATTTACATTGCATACAGTATTATCTTCATTGGAAGTTTGATCTTTCAGAAAGTGAAGTACAGAAGTATTTCAAGATTTCAACACTTTTTAGATACAGGAGTTTTAATCATATGCGTGCTGTCGTGGATCTTCTCATCGATGAATTTCATTTCAGCATAGAGGATGTGAGTAGACACTGAATAATTTTTGTTTGTTCAATTATAGTACAATTGTGTACAAGTCCGAATTTAAATCGGTACTTGAAGAGATCATTAGTACCTTCTAGTTATTAAATAATGTTATTTTTTACATTTTAGATACGAAAATGTGTGTTTCTGCTTGGATGTCATCCTGAGAAACTAAAATATATGCTGACTGAAATGGAACGTTTGACAAGTATTGACATAAGAACTATGTTTAAAAATTATCCACGAGTTCCCGTGTTAAGAACAGAAGCCGTTCCAAAAATTTTCCAAATTCTTAAATCTTATGACATACCAGACTCAGTTATAATAAAACATCCAGAGGTCTTCTTAATTCCTCCAAGTACGCTCGATTTAAGGCTAAAATATGTTTTTAATTCACCGAAATTATGCATATTACGGAATAATCCTAAGTTGCTACGATTAATTTACCTTTACGATACTGTGATGATTCGCTTGAAGTACCTGGAACATTTAAACATGGACTACACGAGTATATCTTTGTTAATCAGTTCCAATACAACTTTTTCACGGTATGTACTTTCATGTGAACAACATAGGCAATGTGGTACATTTTGAGAAATTAAAAACTTTATCCTTAATGTATTTTTTGTTGCAGTGCGGTGTCTACTAAAGGATACAAATTAACTATGGAAGAGTTAACCTACTACTTGACGTTAGAATTTGAGTTCGACATAACATATGTACAAACCAAACTTAGGAAACACCCTTTCTGGCGGTACACTTCAATTCCGCAAATAAAGGAAACCGTTTTGTACCTAAAGGAACGCTTCTCTCCGATTGACATTAGTAAATGCGTGTATATAATTCTATATCCAAGGTAAAGGAAAATGCAAACCATCGTTTAACATACAGACTTTCTTTTTTCTGTTGGTATACTAAAGTGTTACTGCATTTATTTTCAGAGAAAAAGTGGAAAATGCTCTTAATGTTGTCGAACGATATGATAGTACCTATGGCATCGCCTCGTTCACCCCTTCTCAAGTGTTATCTCTCTGCGTGTACATTTTAGAGAGAGATCACCATTTTTCAGGTGACGGTATCTGGCGTATTAATACCAAGTCGAATGAAATAACGCTAGATGAAAGTTTTGCGGATTTAAGGACTTTAGATCCATCCTACAATTCTTTCGAAGGTGCAATTTAGCTTCACTTGCGTAGGTATTCCGTACATGTAACAAAAAATCTGTAAATATTTCAACCCTTAATGTACAGTCTCGATCGTAAAAGTAGTAAAAATTAAATCCAATGCTGTGGTCCTGGAGTGTTACTCCAAGAAGTAAGTTGTACAAAAGCAATCGTGATTAGATTTTGTACAATATACTGTTAAATATTTTTGTAATAAACTATACATTCGTCCATAGTGTGTAAAATCGGATAAATGCCTGATATCTTAATTTCTAAAAGAGACGTAAGGTAGAAGCTCCATCGTGCCTTTCAAACTGAGAAAGTTCATGCAAAACAGTATCGTAGGAGCAGAAAAATCATTTTCACCTTCATTTTTCCAAATTTTATTTAAAAAACCTTAAACTTAAGAGTGTATTATGTATTACAAAACACGGCATAACTTCCATCAAAACTCATTCTTAGGTAGTTAAGGCACACCGAGTAAAGCGTGAATGCCTGAAAGGCACTTCGTTGCATTGGCCTCTTCTATATTTATATTTTATCCAAACGACTTTAATTGTTATAACTACAGAGATATTCAGGCAAGATAAAGGCAAGTAATGCAAGTAATCTCGCAGTTGCGAAATAAACTAATCGTAGTTTTAGGTCGTTGGATCGTTGTAAATACGCGCATCATTGTTGGTTAGATTCGAATCTAAAATCCAACGAGGCACTTCGATTCAGGAATTTCTTGCGAACACTATTACGGAATAAAAATAATACGTAGCGCTCAAAATGCAAACCTACTTAAAATCTCTACTTATCATTTAATAAAGTAACGATTCTTCCAGCTCAGGAAAATTGTCTCCGATCACTCGTCAACATTTATATCTCGCATTTCCCTTAGCTGTAACTCAATTAAAAAAAAAAAAAATCCTATCCCACGAGAAACGTTTACACTGTAAATAGACGTAAATTGATATAGTCACTACATAGCATTAAGTCAACATAAAACAAAATCGGGAGTAAAACTTCGCTGTACGTTTCCACGCCATAAAAATTATTTACACTGCCTTCTCGATATAATATACTTTGTGATACGCAATTTTTCACGTGGATGAAATATAAAAGGTAGGTCAAAAAGACAAAGCGGACGTTAAATAAAGACGAACGGCTAAACGTGTACGTATAACAAGCGTCGTTAACCAAGTTGCCGCGACCTACGTTAAAGCTTTGAAACCACCTAGAGCAGGTCTCATTATTTTCCGCGTTACAGCCAACTACACATACGACAAAGCAGGAGAAACTTGAAATGAATTTAAAAACAAATCGTTACCCTACCCTGTACAATCGCCGGCAATAAACGGCAGGGCAAGACTTAAAAGCCAGCGTGCTCTTTCAATCTCTCCCCTGTAACCCGACGTTCAGCCCCGCTAGAAAAAAAAAGAAAAAAAGATCGCACCCCCCAAAAACCGACACATCTCCCTAATCACCCTACGATAATCAACAGAGTCCTTGGGAGCGTCCTCGGAGTCCTTCATCAACGCCACCATGGATAAAGTCGCTTTATGGCACCGAAGCGTATCAACCCCTTTGGATAGATAGATACCAGCGAGCTCCAAATTCAGGAAATTCGACGATGATGTCCCTCCAGCCTTGAATATCCCCGAGAATGCTTCCTCCACCTCCAACATGGACGAAGACGATCAAGGGACGAGGCTTACCTCCAGACCTCAGGTATGGAATCTGGACCCGAACCCGAGGGTTCGAGTCAGTTCAAAAAAGGAGGGAGCTGCACGTAGTTCTGCTGGGCGGTGGGCTCGATCTTGACCATGACCTGGTCCTTCAGTCCCTGGCGTCCTGGGGGGGAGTGCATCCCGTACTCCTGTTTCTGGTCCTGCTGCTGTTGCTGCTGCTGCGAGTAGTCCGCCTGCTCGTGCTGGTACTTCTCGGCAGGGCTGAGTCCGCTTACGTACTCCAATTGTTTGCCCTGTTGGTGCTCGTCCTCGGACATGGACCCGGCGATGTGGGTCGGAGGTGAGTGGGTCGTCACCATCGTCTGGTAGTCCCCGCGGTTCAACGGCGGCGGGGGACTGTTGTTCGCGTTCATGTAGTCCTGGTGGACGCGCATGGCGTTTCCCGCAGGGGCCGAGAACAGGGACGCGTCGTGCTGCGGAAGCATCGCGTAGGGATAGGGCGACCCATTGTTGCTGGGGCCGCCGAAGGAGCTGGGGTATGGCGAGCTCGACGGACTCAGCAGGTTCAGGTGAGGTCCCAGGTCGTACGTCGGGGAGTACGCCCAGTCCGGAGGTGCGCTCGTCGTCGCGGAAGTCGTGAATGAGTTCATCGTGTTCAGGTTCCCGAAGGACACCGTCATCCCTGGGCTCGACGACCCCCCTGCGACCGTGTAGATCGTCTTCCGGGGAGGCTCCCGCTTCCGCCACTTGGCTCGCCGATTTTGGAACCACACTTGCACCCTCGACTCCGACAGCCCCAGCTTCAGGGCCAGTTCTTCCCGGGCGAACACGTCGGGGTACGGAGCTCGCTCGAACGCCTTCTCCAGCTCGTCCAGCTGGTACGCCGTGAACGTTGTTCTGCAAGAGAATCCCATTTTTCATTTACACGGCATACAAATACCGGGCCATCTATCTACGACTAAACTAATTTATATTTTCTTCCGACACCTAGGATGAATTCCAGATTATCGTTCCACGTCTTGGACATCGAGAGTCATTTTGAACGCGGAAAGTGGAGCTGGAAAATGGTCGCGCGTCGCGTTAATGGATCCTGGAAGCAAGGACAGGCCTTCCGCTGCAACTGTCGAGAGTATCGACTCCCGATGTCCTTCCTTTTATCCGGAAATCTAAACTTCCCTTTTAGCGGGTCGCTCCAATGGTCATACCAACGGCCACATGTCGCCTAAATTTTCGACGGTCGATCCTGAGTGTTGGGCGATCGACCCCGTAAAAAGTGGAGGCATGCGGTCGAATGGGGGACCCCTATCAGTTTTTCCACCCCCTGGAATTTCTCCGCAAAACGCGCTCTTTTTTCGCTGACCATGCTGACCGTTGCTGGCCCGAAATCGCTAGGAGCGATACGGGCATTGCGTTTCCAAGCGGAGGACACGTTAACGCACCTGGTCTTCTTTTTCTTGATCCCATTGTTGTCAGTCTTCTTCTTCGAGTCCTTCTTGGCCGGCTGCGCCTCGTTGTTCACTGCAACACGGAAAGGGCAGTCGTTAATTATAAATCAGCAATAATTAGAAATACTCGAAGAGCCGAGTATTCTCAATACGTAAATTCCTGGATTAAATCCTCGCGACCCTTTCCTACTCGTCACCCGGAAGATCCGCGCTCCACTACGCGAATGGCCGACGAGGATCGTTCGCCAACAATTAGGGTTGTTCAGCCGGTTAAGGCGGCAATTTGTTCCTGATTCGTTGTCACTATCCGTTCCACGGCGCACTAAGTGGGGATGAGCTTCGATAATTTCTAGAGTAACCTCAGACTATCAGGTGGAGGAGGAAGTTCCCGCCGTTTTTGACGTTAAGTAACGCAATTAAAACGGCGGGTACTTATTCCTCGAGCCAATACATACGATCCGATCGTCCCCGATTAAATCCTCCGATACCCGCCATATTTGCATATCTACAAAGTCGCGCAATTTTGATTCCTGGCCCCGAATTACCACCGATAAAAAATAATAATCTTGAAAATATTAATGTTTACCAGGAGCGAGAGAGTTCATGGGGTCGTCCTGCTTCCTCTTCATGGAGTTGCCGAGTTGAAGGCTTTGCTGCAGAGTGGTGGAGGTCGGGGTAGCCGCCGAAGACGTGGACGTGGTGATGTCCTGAGCCTGAGGAAGAGGTGCGTACATCCCGACGATCTCCAGCTCCTTGAGCTCCTTCTGTTGCTGCTGATGCTGCTGTTGCAGGTGATGCGAGCTCTGGTGATGAGAGCCTTGGTGGTGAGACGGAGGGCTGTTGGAGGAGTCCAATTTATGGAGGTGTCCTCCGGGAGGCATGAGGTCCCCCCCGTGGTGGGCCCCGTGGATGCCGTGGAGCATCACCTGGATGCTGTGTACCCCGGCGCCCCCTCGGCCCCCAAAATCCGGGAAGATGGGGTCGTCGAAAGGTCCACCCTCCATGTTGCTTAAGACTAACTTAATATCAATTCCGCCGGGAGATCCTCTCTAAGTCGATCTTCTTCGGGACGCGCACAGTCCTGGGGTAGAAAAATGGACGTCTCCGAAGATCTCAGGGGTTACCTGGATTTCTCTCGTGAGTTGAACCTCGAAGCGACGCGGAAGACTGTTTAGACGGGTACGGGTCTAGATCCTCTTCAGGGACCGCGACTCCGCGCGAAGATGGCGGCGGGTCGTCTTCTCCGCTCCGGATTCGAAGTCGTCGAAGAACTCGGTTGCCCTCGGGGGTAGTAACGTTGCTTTTCGTATTCCGGTGACAGTCGTCCCGGAGAGTTTCCTTCCGCGGGTCGGAGAGTCCCGGAAGCCAGGTCTTCTCTCTCGGTTTGGTTCTCCGGAAGCGGCGGCGTTTCCTCGTCGCCGTATTTTCGGGGGCGCGCGCGGCGCGTCGCTCGGGCAATTATGCAAAAACCGAGGATGATTGGCGCGCCTCCTCTCGCCTGATGGAATCTGAACCAATTGCGATCAATTGTTGCGGTTATGATTAATTTTGATTAGTTTTAACCGGAGTTAACGAAGTGAACTAGCTGGGCCGGACCTTGGCGGCCGACTGATGCCGAGCTCGCGGACTCGGCCGTCCGCTCCCGGGCTTAGGCCACTCGTTACGATCGGCCAGACCGAGCTAATCACTCCACCACCAACTCACACAGGCTTATATTTTAACCGAGCGGCTTTGACCACGCCCCCACACACTTCCACCGACCAATCGGGAACGAGCACGGGTCGCGTCTCTCGCGCGACAGGTCGAAGATATGCGGGTCCCCTGGATCCGGCCAAGCGCCCCCGCCACGGAGTGCGGAGAGAGAAAGAGAGAGAGTCATGGGCCGCCCCATATGACCGAGGGAGACGGAGCGAGAATCGCTCCAAGAAGGCGGCCCGCGATAAAGAAGGGAGACGCGCGTCACGGTCCCCGACATCCCGATTACCACGTCCAGCCTCTTTCGATCTCCTCCCGCGTCTTTTCGCGACTTTTCGCGTAATTCCCGACACCTTCCTCGATGGGATAACGAGGAAGTAGAGCTCGCCATAGCGCGAAATTCGAGAGGAGAATCGCGGGAGGTGACCGGCATCCAAGATGGCGGCGGCCTGGCACCTCCGCGCCGGGCGTTTCAAGTAGGAAAAATGACCGTAAAGCCGATGTCATTCCCAGTATTCGCGGGGGGGAAATGCGAGTGGGGTAATCCGAGACCGATTAGCGGAATATTTCAAGAGAAGGGTAGGTCGCGGAAGAAAGAATTCGAGCCGCCGAGTTCCGCAGGAAGATTTGCGAGGATGCTTCCGGAGCCCGATTGGTCGACTCTCTGGTGTTCCAAATTTTCCTCCCCGCGTCGGCGCGATGCGTTGCTACGCATAATGGTGCGGGAGCGGGATAACTACCCTGAGCGGTTTCTTTTAGCGATTCTTTGATTCATCTTTTTTCCCCAGGGGCATGTGGACGAGAAACCAAGATGGCGTCGCTCGAGTTGCACTCGGGAACAGGAATGTCACTGTCTATGTCATTTGTAATCGTGTATGCCGAAGTATCCTCGTTTCACCAGCGTTTACCAGCAAGATTCACGTTTGGTCGACACTATCGTAGCCTTTCGCGATGATTCGCATGGGAGTCGGGTCAGAGGTCGAGCGTTCTTGCGACACACCCTCGCCGGGGTCGCGACGATTTTGCATTTTCGCGGGGATTCCCGATAAATGAGGGGTGGAGTATTGACGAGATCGCGGCAATTCGAGAGATCCACGTCGGTTGACCGGCAGCATGGCACTGAGCTCTTGAGCGCAGGCTCAATGAAACTCAGTAATCGCCAGGAATTGCCTCGAATTGGTCCAATCAAACTACCCCCATTCCTCGGGTATACGCGTGTATTAACTGCTAATTTCATCGGAGCTAATTAGCGCGTTTCGCGGTGATTTCATGATTTCATCGCCGCGAGTGCGCCTTCTGCTTTCGAGGGACACCTACGAGTCTTCTGCGCCGACCTCTTCCGATTACGACTCCGAAGTACTCAACCTCCGGTCGTGATTCTCCGAGATCTTCTTCGTTAAACACACCTGTATAGAAGGTAAATTTACGGTTGAAATTCCAGCTTCAATTATTTTTCAAATAAATGGTTTTACCAAATCCATCCGACGTCTCGGTTTCTTGGTTTAGAAGCATCGAGGGCGTAGATGGAGTATCTCTTGGGAAAGACGCGTGTATTGAATCCTGTTGCGTCGATGTCAATGCCTCCAGGTGTGAAATCATTTTCGATCGATAAATCGATCAATGGCGATCGTTTGGTCCCACCTCCACCGTTTGGCCGGCCGATCTGCATAGGAACCGGCGCAGCGAGAAGTCGGCAACTTTAACTGGCCTAAATGGGTTTAACTCGATGTGATTTTGCCGGCGAACCACTAAATTGAACGAATACGAACTAAACTGAACTCAACTAAGCTAATCATATCACATTACTAGCGTTATTAGCCGAGCGACGATATAAGCGAAGGTCCGGTGATGGCAGACTGCAGTACCGGGTTGCCTCCTGCACTGACCCTCGCGACCACCATGTTGACTTCCGACATTCCTCCGGACCCACTTCCGGTATCTCCACCGCCTGCTTCCGGGGATCCTGCAAAAAGTTCAGATTTTCTGGAAAGCCCGTTTTCGAGGGTACCAACTTGCCGACTCCGCGCCGATTCCGCGGTCCAATGTGCCGACCGGATGTTGGAGCTGTGCGAATTCGAGATACCCATTCATTATCCTCCGCGACCATCCAACACGCTCCGGAGCAGCGCAGAGCCGCGAGTGGAGTGCGCGGGAGTGAGCGCGCGATTTTAAACCAGGATTTACCGTGTGACTCCGCGGTCGGCCGTTTCCGAAGTCTCACGAACGCGGCCGAACATGGCCGACCGGACCACGCCGTCCTTTTCCGAAGAAATTATCCACTTAACGGGCGGAAACGGAGTTTTCGATTCCGTTTAACGATGCGACTCGATGCCAGAGTTTCGGTTGCCCGACAAAACCTAGAAAAGAAAATTCCTACTTGGATGGTTATTTGTCAAATTGATACGAAAATGAATCCCGATCTCCGGAGGGCATTTCCGCGCCGACCAAGATGGCCGACGCTGCCATTCCACAAGAAACTGTATACTTTAGGCTAAAATTCGGTCCTAGATTATTAAGATCTATCTCTGATTATTTTACGTACATAAACTGTAGCTACACTAATCCTTACGTAACCAGGGCGAATATTGCAACGCGATAAGCACAAGCAAGAATATTTAGATCTAATCTTTGTCGACTTCCCTCAACTACGACGACTGGTTAAAAATGAAGAAAAGTTACTTTAAGGGACAATGTACGGAAAGTCTAAAAGTTTTAGCTCGTAACGACTGTGTCTTTCCATCAAATATGTCATCCATTGCAGAAATTCGTTTGACGCCGAAACTCGTTGAAATGCATGGTTTAAAAATGTCATTTTAAGAGGCTAACGTTCCAAGTACTTTTTCTACATGTATGTCAACGATGGAGCGTGAGATGAGAATCGTGCTTACGTCGTTTTTTCGAGTTTTACCGGCGAGTGGTATGTCGGGATGTATTACCGTGAGCCCGCAGAGCACATACTAGCAGGGCTACCAATTGAGCGAGTTAACGTCAATTGATCTAAATTGTCTCAATTGACCATAATTGCGCAAAGGCGACGGGGAACCTCCGCCGCTGCCGCATCTACGTTCCTCTTGGCATCTCTCCACGTATTTATCCGTACACGCACGTACTCCTACATAATGCGTCTCTTTGGGAGTATAAGCAGGGACGGATTAACACAGGCGTCGACGAGGTCTTGTCCTGGGGGGTTCGAATTCGCTGCACACATTTCCGGGGTTAACCCGGAAAAATGGACCCCCTCGGGGGGTCTTTTGTGTCCAATCGCAAAGCCAGCGAAACACGGGACGTTCACACGTTTGCGAAATCACGCGAAATCCCTCCTAAAAAATGAGAAATAACCTTCAACAGTTATCACAAATCATGCAGAGAAAGGAGTCTCGTTCAGTAGTTTTAATTACAAATTTGGTACCGATTGCGTTTGGCTTGAGGAATTTTAATTTCGCACGGTTGATCTTGCGTTGATATGGTGTGGCTTCTGGAGATTCTACGTCAGGATAGATGGGACTCCTTTATGGCGGGAATTATGGCACCCTCATGTGGTGGGTGAGAGGAGGATTGTAATAAACCTTTTTGGAACCCCCATAAGTGATCCGGTATTGTCCCACCCTCGAATTCTCGAGGCTGGCGTGAGACCTGGTCTCAAGCAACGCCTACGAGCGCGTGTCTAGCCATTCTCATGGTTCACGGTAGGGTTAGAATGGTGGATACACTTGGACATACTGGTAGCTAATGTCATCCTTCATCCGCTTGTGCATGATACCTCACCACCACTCGGGAAGCCCATCTTATATTCCTGTAGGTTAATAAAATGCTTCCCTTCGAGATACATCTGCAAAACATGTAAAAAGTGTGATTAGCTGATAAATACATTTCCTGTAAAGTAGAAAAAATGCCGAGGTCTCCTCGGCCCTGCAGCACATGGATATGACGACCGTGTCAAAGCAAAAGAAACGTAACGTCGTCACGCAGTGACGTAGCATCCTGATTAACACGACGGAATTACATCCGTCGGTCGTCGTAAATGTCGGCATTCGCCTACAGGGTGATCGGTAAAAAATCCAACTATCCAGTCAGGGGGTCAGGAAGAATATTTAAATATTTCCTAGATTATCGGTAAACTAGCCTTAGGGCGGAGACTTGATTTCCACAGGATTGCTGACAAATTCGATACGCATTGACGGCATCGGTGCGAATATGGTCTCTCTTTTGGCGGTGCTTCGTCCACTACGTATTCCGTGGACCCACATATTTCGTGAGAACGCCACTATATCGGACATATAGCCCACGAATTGGATTTCTCATAATGCTATGGCGATCGAGGGGTGAATCGCGGCCTTTTAGTCCCGCATTAGGCATTGCTCTTGTGTATGCGTCATACCTGCGGGTGGGAAGTCTCGTGGAAATCTTCGGATCTGCCTTCGAGCCGTGTTTGCGGGCCATTCATGGATATTTGAAAGGACACCCCTACGGAAGTAGCTTTTCCCTCAACGTGGTGTCCCCCCATAAGGGCACTCGAGGATCCATTGACCTCCACTTGTTGCATCTCTACCTTTAGGGGGGATTACGGGAAACTGTACACCCTCGTACTGACACGTAAAAATATATAAATATTTCTTAGATGTATAGTTTAAATATTATTTATTTACATACTTTAATTTCCGTTCAAAGTGAGGTAAGGATGTATTGATGGTCACTTGAGGGACCGATACAGGGCTTCTATTTCCTCTTATTTTTTTATGACGCGTAAGAAAGCTAAGGGATGTTTTCTGTCGGGTGGTGGGAAATCTTTGGGTCTCGTGTCCCGTATAAAAACCATATGCTTGTGTCATTATGCTGGCTGAGATGACTCTTCATGACACGCGACCCGCAGCCACCTAGAACACTTAATTTCACCTCTACGGGACTTTTACGGGAACAACTGGAACACCCGTAGATCCCAAGATGACGTCAAGGGAATTTTTACTTACACCCTCATTTTAGATGTGACTTTTGAAAACATTTACAGACGTCCTAAGGGAGGTTTCTTCTTTGTCGACGATGATACGGCAGGGACGATTTTCATCGGCGCATGAAGTGGCGCCATCGAACGACCTGCGCTGGAACTCTTTGCCGAGTTTCTAACGAGTTTAAAATGCAATAACTTACAAACATGTCATTGCACAAAAGAAAAATAATGAAAGAAGATTTTTAGAAAGAGCGCATTGTCTTCTGTCTTTCCTCTTGTAACGTTCGATCTAATTATTGACGGTTTTCCAATCACTTGAGCATGTCTTTGGACGAGTACTCAAGTGTACAGCCGCCTTGACGAGACCCTTCTTCTTCGACGTCTACTCGCCTTCAACCTGTAACCTTTTAAATATGTTACTAAATTAAATATAGCTTATTTACTTGCTAAAGAGCACTGCAACCATTTTTAATATTAACCCCTTGTGCTTCAATGACGAGGTAGACTCATTCAGATAGCATGGTTTCATAATTAAATCAAAGCGCAAGGGGTTAATAAGTGTATAAATATTTCATGTTACCGAATTTTGTTATCTCTCTTCTAAGCATTTTTGCGTTCTTAATGGTTATTTAAAAAAATATCACAGATCTGTCAAGGACCTCGCGACAGCGCTGTCTGAAAATACTGCAGCCCCGGTAACGTTACTTTCGAGGACAGTACACCGAAGTCTAGTGAAACTGGTCGAAGAAAATAGACCAGACGAAAGTGCCGAAAACAACATGGATCACCAGGAATAGATCCAGACAAGAATTCACGTCTATGGTAGAAGCATTAAATGCACACGAGGTACAAATGCGGGATCGGGACCCTTGCTTAAAAAAAAAAGTGCTATCCATAACATTGTTAAATTATAAAGCATTTTGTGAGCAAGAGCCTTACCTCGTGTAAAGCCCATAATCTCTTAGCAAGCGAGCTCTTCAAGATGAAACCGTGCCTGACAACAGCCATCTCCTGAGATCCAAAATAGCTGTAGCTTCGCTTTCGGGTAACAGAAATTCCCTGCCTGTTAGGCTACCGCTATTCGAGGTGCATCTTTATACCAATCTATGTATAACTGTATAAGTGCACATAAAAGCAAGGTCTCGTGCTTCCCTCGGGGCGAAAGAGACATCCTTCATTCCTTTGATCTGAAATAGTAAAATCGAATTGAGTTAAATATTAAAATATTAAATTATTAAGAGTAGGCGAATTGTTTGGTTCTCGAGACAGTGCAGAAAATTCGATTTCCACTGATCTTTCAATTTTAGGGGGACACGCGGATACAGGGGTTCCGTTCAAAGGATGTGAGTAATTTATGGCACTAAGCATGGTTATGCAAAGCAGGATGGGCATCTGTCCAAGGGAATCTTATTGCAGACATATATTCCTGACTGCCATGTATTAAGCCTCATGACGAACGACTCATTATTCCAGTCTCCTGTACGCTCGATAACGTAAGATAATATTAGACGCATTTTACGACCCTCTGCAGAAGCACCCTGTGGTCGCATTTTTCGTTTTTCGCCCCACAAGGGAAAATAACGAAAAAAGGATTAGCTCTTCATTTTATGGCACGAGGATGTCCTTGAGATTGGGGAAAAAAGTATCTTTAACAGCGTGGTCTCTGAAATGTGAAGAATAAAAACCAGACCCGAGACCTATTAAAGGTGCGAGGTCCAATTAAATTTGGCAGTTCATTTTGGCAGCGTTTCCAAATGGCCGACGTACCTTGTGTTCGTTTCACGGCCAGGTTCTCGTTTGGTGACCTCGGCAGCAGACGTAGGTGTAGGTGGATTCTAAAAGATCCATGTTTTCATCGAGAGTCGTCTATGGATGTACCGAGTCATACGCACGAAAATCATTTATTTCCCCTTCCATCGAAGAATCTTTCCGTCCGGCGATCCCTGTAATAAAAAACGAAAAATCAAAATTCAACATACCATCTTTGCCGCAATAAATTAAATAACCGTCGAAGCAATTTGATGGAACATTAATTAACTTCGTAACGAGTACCATTTGCACGGTCGGTTCGTCTTGAAGTTACGCCAAAATGGTACTCGAACGAGGATCTGATTTAACATTTAGCGAAAACGAGGCACGATATTCCTCTCATTTGCCAGTTCGAAATCAGTAGAAGTACGTAATCCTGGGTTAGACAACGCGGAGTGACTGGTAGATTTATTCTACTTGGCACGATCTACAATGACAACTTTCCTCGACGGTAAAACGGACCTTGAGTATTGTGCCCAGATGTCGAGGCAAACTGCACCGGGGTGGGCCGAATAGCGGAAATTTATTAGATTTCCCATGATTTATCGACTAAACGATAAGGCATTACTCCACCCGATGTGCCATTCATTCCGATACTCCGAAAGCATGAATGGCACAACCCTGCGCGTATAAATATCAACTCCTCGTGGTTACCCTCTATCGACTTTTTACTAAAATATATTTAAAGGTATGCCTGTTGTCGTCAAGAGCGACCCCTAACTTCCTCGATTAATTTTAATGTCTATTAAAGAGGCTGCTGTTTTTACAGATTTTCTTCGCCAGGAAGACGGGCGCAATATAAATAAAATCGGTCGGCGCTTTCTTTGCGAGTGGTCGCTTGCAAACAATTGTCTGGCAGGTGAATCTCATTTGGCACGGCTTGTTCCGCGAAACAAGATTAAAGATTCCGCAAACCTTGGGAACGTTGTTCGTTCAGTGCCAATCCACCTTTTCCGTTACGTGGAGCCCCTCGGTTCAATACCACCGTGAAATAATGATGTAAATAATGAGCTCATACCGTGGTTTTGTTTGGCACGAGTCATGTAACACACCTGCC